ATTTTCCTGTTATCCCATTTTTTTCCTCAAGTTTTCTTTAGGAGTTAAGGCTTACAAGGCAGATGACATTTCTTTCAGAGCTCAGAATTTTCCTCAGGGCAAAGAACATTTGAATATAGGGGACTTCAGACCATGTGTCTTTCCTTTTGCAAAACAGGTGTAATTATAAGATGGTGTGTAATTGATACATCCCTCTGCTGGCCATGCCTCTTTATTTCCCAACTTGTGTTGGGGCCAGGAGAAAATCAGAGCCTTTTCCTTGAGGGGTTGTGGATTAAAGATTTTCCAGTTGTTAAGAATACAACCCAGAGGGGTGTATGTTTTTTCCCTCCTGCTTAGAGGCTTATCTAAGTGTCCTTAGGGCCTTGCTGCCTCCCAGTGGGAAGGACTTGCTTCCCCTTTTATGCGGAATAAATGGGAGACATAGCCTATCAGGAATTTATCCACCTGTACCAGTGAGGTCCTGATATGCCTCTCCCCTGTGTGAGTTCCTACCGGGTCACTATGTCCTTTGCATTTTCCATTGAGCCTTTTTAACAATCTCTCCTAGCCAGAAGGCCAGAATTTTAAGCTGAAGGGAGAGAAACTCTGGTCCCATTCATTTCCTGTGGGACTGTCAGTCACACACCTGAGCGTCCCAAAACAACTGCATCTGTCTGGAAAGTCAAGCTGCAGGTCAGGGCAGAAATATTCTTTTTCCTGGAGTATGGAACTTAAACTATAAGAAATGGTTGGGTTTTTTATTCAGTTTGTGAGTCCCTTTTCTATCTCCCTGCATCAAGGGCAAGAAGATAGGGATGTTTCAAAAGGCTAAGGAGGAAGGGTGGTCACTTTCCCTCTGCAATGACATGCAAACAGACAAGAGAGAAGAGGGAGGTTGCGAGGGAACTGTAGGGAGAGGGAGAAAGAGAGAAAGACAGAGAGAGAGAGTGTTCTTAGGCTCATGTATGAGGGATTACGAGCCACCTCTGTTCCAGAGGTGGTACTGGACTACTAGGAGCAAGGGTGGCCTCCACTCTCAGGCCATGAGAACTGAAAAGAAAGTGAGAGATCTGACTGTCTGCAAGGCTCAGGAATAGCTCAAGGGGTTCTGATATTTGGTCACCTTTTGTGCTGCCAGGTGAGCCAGGAAGTCACACACTCAGCATTTGGGTCCCACCAGGGAGTCACTCTGGCCAGGGTCCTTCGCTCACCAGGGAGAACTTTCCTTTTACACCGACTGTTCTGAGCCCCTCCTTAGTAAGTCAGATCAGAAAGGAAACTGAAGTGAAATCAGATCAACATTCCCTGTGCTGTAGCTGAGAGGGACTGAACTGACCTACTCCAGCAAGCCTCACACCCAACCCCCAGTATGACATTGGACTGTTGATCTCAAGTTTGTGTCCTGCTGTAGTCAATGATTGAAAATGTGGGACCAGAAGTTAAGAGTTAAAGCAAGCACAAAGTTTATTGAAAAGATAGCAAAACACCCTGAGGGGTGGGACTTAGTGAAAGAGCTAAGCCAAACAATGGCTGACATCTAGGAGATGATACAGGGCATTAGCTGGCTGAGGTCTAACTATTCTACCTTGAAACTATATTTGTGATTGATTGGCACTGAATTAGCTTCTCACTGAACTCAGCCACCTGTCTATCCCTCTTCTTAATGAACTGAGCATTCCAAGAAAGTCTGGTCAGTTTGTCCTGGCCTTCAAAGTCTGCTTTAACTCATCCTGGCCTTGGGGCCCACTGCCTACATTGTGTAGCTGCATTTCATTATTTTGGTAAGGGGTTTGTTATTTCTCTGAGAAGCCTGTTGCTTCCCACTTCTTTTTAGATGTCTGCTTCTAAAGTGCCTCTCTCATCCAAGATGGAGTCACCTCTGTCATTGCTCCCCTTACAATATGACCTGCCCTGCTATGCTCTGGTACACTCTGCCCTCCACAATGGTCCAAAATTTCTGAAAGCCTGAGCTAAATAAATCCATCATTTTTTAAGTTGTTTCTGTCCAGTATTTTGTCACACGGAAAGAAGAAAGGTAACTAATTCACAAAATTAGCACCAGAGTCATCATTGTGACTAAACCTGACTATATGGTTCTTAAGCTTTCAGAACTGATTTGCAGAAGGGATCTGGAAGAGTGTGGGGAAGCAGGCTAGAGAAGCCCTAGAACGCTGTAAGCTCAGCTTCATGGGTAATTCTGGTAGAGCTCAGAAGACCAGAATGCTGAGAGAAATGCAGATGGTAAAGACTGTGCTTGTAAAGTTTCAGAAGGGAATGAAGACTCTATTGGGAATTGGACTAGAGACCATTTGTTACATCCTGGCAAAGAACTTGTCTACATTTTGTCTGTGTCCTGAGACTTTGTAAGAGGCTCAGTTTAAAGGTGATGGATTAATTAATGTGGAGGAGGAAGTTTCAAAGCAGTCCAGCATTTAGTCTGTGACATGGTTTTTGCTGGCTGCTTTTATCCAAGTTCGCAGTGAGAATTGGGAGCAAAAAGCACGGAAGAAAGACCTGAAAAAGTTACAGTTTGTCCAGAAAAGCCCACATAAAGTCATGGTGCTTAAAAAGAATAATGCCATTAAAAAGAAGTCAAGGACTGGAGGTGTGGCTCAAGTGGCAGAGCACCTACCTAGCAAGAAGAAAGCCTTGAGTTCAAACCCCAGCACCATAAAAAAACAGAAAGAAAGAAAGAAAAGAAAAGAAGGTAAGTATTTTACATCAGACAGTAGGAAAAATGCCTTCAGGGAAAATCAGGACTTGACCAGACTCCACTCATTGCAGGCTGAAGGAAAAAAGTGTATACTCATTTGAAAGACCTACCTTTGAGCTGGGTGGTACATGCCTGTGATCCCAGCACTGTGGAAACTGAGGCAAGAAGATTGTGAGTTTGAGGCAAGCCTGGCTACAGAATAAGATCCTGTCTTTAAAAAATAAAAATAAAAAAGACGCTCCCTTAAGAAGAGAGCATGGTAGCGGCATCCTGCTCCCAAGGGGCCCACTAAGGAAGTGTTTTCTCATGTTCAGCCATCCAGGCACGCAGAGGCCACTGCAGTTCAAGAGCGCCTGGCTACTGCTCAAGGTGGCAGCAGACTTTGGCATCACCCTTGTGATGCTGGATTTACAGGCACGCAGAATGAAAGGATTACAGGGTCAAAGAAGCCTGGGAGGCCATGTAACTGTAGCAGGGTCAGAGTCCCTAAAGGCAGCCCCTGACAGGGCAATGCCTGAAGCTGTGAGAGTGAAGCCGAAGCTGAAGTGGAGACCTCAGGAAGTTAGAGGGGCAGGAATGTGCAGCGACAGCTGAGGAAAGCCATAGGCAATGAGCAGAAGCAGCCTCAGAGAGAGAGCCTCAGATGTGGGCTGCAAACAGCAAGCCCACTGGGGCTCATGTCATGCCACCACGTGCCCTGGATGTGGGACATGGAATTACAGGATTTAATGTTTGCCCTGCTGGGTTTCGGTCATGCCTTGGTTCCATTCTTCCATTCTATGCCCTCATTCCTTCCTTTGAGAATGGGAATGTCTACCCTGTGCCATTGTATGTTGTGCGTATGCAACTGATTTTTGATATCATGGAGGCTTACAGCTAAGAGTTTGCTTTGAGTCTCAAGAGACTTTGAACTTGGGGACTGGAGATGTGACTCAAGTGATAGAATGCCTGCTTTGCAAGTACAAAGCCCTGAGCTCAAACTCAGCCCCACTGAGAGAGAAAGAGAGAGGGAGAGAGAGATTTTGAACTTTTGTAAAATGCTGGAACTGTTAAGATTATGAGGGATTCTTGGAGATAAACTAAATGCATTTTGCTTTGTGAGATGGACATGGGGGCTTGGGGTGAAATCTTATGGTTTGGATATATGAAGTGCTCCTCCCCCAAAGTTCATGTATTGAAGACTTGGCCCCAAGGTGATGGTACTGTTTTGGGTGGTTCAAGAGACTTTAGGAGGTGGGTCTGGTTAGGTGGGCTTAACCAGAGGGAGCAGGTGCCTGGGGGGTTGGTCCTTAGGGGCTGTGTCTTGTCTTGGGCCCCTCTCTCTCTCTCTCTCTCTCTCTCTCTCTCTCTCTCTGCTTCCTGGCTGCCATGAAGTGAGCAGCTTAGTCTGCCACACCCTCCATGATGTTCTGTTCAAGAGCATGGGGCTATGAAACCACAGACTGAAATTTACAAAACCATGAGCCAAATGTATCTTTCCTCCCTTAAGTTGCTTCAGTCAGATATTTGTACACAGCTTGCTAATATTCACTTTATTTTTTATTAAAAATCCGAATCCCAGGGACTAGAGGTATGACACAAGTGGTAAACCACTTACCTAGCAAATGCAAGGGCCTGAATTCAAACCCCAGTACCACCAAAAAAAAAAAATCCTATGGCTGGAGATATAGTGCAGTGGTAGACTGCATGCTTAACACGCATATGCCCTGAGTTCAATCCCCAGTACCCTCAAAATCCTAATTGCTCCCAAACACACTGTTCTACAAATATATTTAACGTTCAAAATCAAAATAAAGAAATTATCTTAATGAAATAGCATTATCTTCTTCGTACATAGACCACACATTAAGAAATGTCTTTATTCAGATACCTTAAAGCAACTGAGGCCAATAGGAAAAGGAGACCAGGAACTAGAGAAAAGGTTAGATTAAAAAGAATTAACCTAGAAGGTAACACTCACGCACAGGAAATCAATGTGAGTCAATGCCCTGTATAGCTATCCTTATCTCAACCAGCAAAACCCCTTGTTCCTTCCTATTATTGCTTATACTCTCTCTACAACAAAATTAGAGATAAGGGCAAAATAGTTTCTGCTGGGTATTGAGGGGGGGAGCGGGAGGGGGTGGAGTGGGTGGTAAGGGAGGGGGTGGGGGCAGGGGGGAGAAGTAAACCAAGCCTTGTATGCACATATGAATAATAAAAGAAAAATGAAAAAAAAAAAAAGAAATGTCTTTATTTTTTATTTGAAAGTGGAAAACTTTGCCATTCAACAGTCCCTCACGATGTTTAGATGGCAAATTGCACAGTGGGCCTAGTCCTGCTCACTGCATACTTGTGGCTAGGTGTGCAATCAGGTCTTTGGCATCCTGCAAGGTGGAGGGTATCTCTGAGCCATTCTTGGTCACTTGAGTTCCAAACAAGAACAGCTTCCTGTCATTTCCCACCTCAGATAAGGCCAAAGCGTCATGAATATCTGTAATGTGATAGGCTGCTTCTAGATCCTTCACCCAGAATGGAAAAAGAACAGGAAAAGGTTGGTTATCTGGCAGTTCTTCCAGACACATTACCCTTATGGGCTGCTCTCAATGACCTCACTATTTTAATATACAGGGTATTGTGATGTGACCCCATTATTCTAACCTCCATCATAATGCAGCTATTTTCATTTATGCCAACATTTATGAGTTATCAAAAAATATTTTTTGAAATGGAGCTACGCCATTATAATACTTTCATTTTCTAAAAGGTGCCATTGATCCATTTATTTTGTTGCTCCATTTTCTTATGTGTCCAAGATTGTCTTTAATAGGATCAATTATTACAAATTTAATTTGTAACAGAAACTTGATTCATTCATTGTTTTACTGATTTTAGTATTGCCATTGTAAGTTCTCTTTTGTGATCATTATTTCTACTGAACAAAACTTTTGGATAAATTTTTGGGGTGTGGAGAAGACAGGTAAGGGACCAGGGAGGGAATAAATTTAGAAAAGGGATGATAGGCCAGGCATGGTGGTACACATCTGTAATGCCAGCTATGAGGGAAGTGGAGATCAGGAGGATCACAATACCTGGCCAGTCCCAGGCAAAAAGTCCAAGAAAGCAAAAAATGTCTGGGGGCATGCTCAAAGGGTAGAGTGTCTGTTTAGCAAGTATGAGGCCGTGAGTTCAAACCCTAGTACCATAAATAAATAAATACATAAATAAGAAAGAAAGAAAATAGGAAGGAAAGAAAGACAGAAAAAGAAAGAAAGATGCACAGAAAAAGAGATGGGGAAGGCTTAGAGAAGGAAACTCCTAGAGAAAGCAGAGATACCTGTGCTTATGCTGCATATCAGGGTCAAAAATCTGAGAGGTCAAAATGGCAAGGTCAAAACATATTCCTCTGCCTCTCATATGTCAAGTGCATCTTTGCAAATGACCATTGAGATCCCCTTATATAGATATCAGATTCCACTATCATCTTTTAGTCCTTTGCAAAAATTTTGTCATCTTCACCTCTAAAATGCCATTTATAATTGGCTTTTTGTTGTTTACAGCATTCCCCTAAGCTTTAGGGGATCAATTCTTTTGTTCTTTGTTTTTGAGAAAAGGCTTTTTATGTTGCTCAGGCTGGTCCCTAGCTTTTGGGCTCAAAGAATGTTCGTGCCTCAGCCTCCTGAGGAGCTGGGATTACAGACATATGCCACTCACCCAGTCAGGGGATCACTTTTAAATCTCTGGAAATAAACCAGATCGAGTAATTGTTTTCCTATTCCAATATAAGCCTATCAATTTCCATCACTGGAAGGCTGTGAGACTTCCCCTGAGGGCTGTGCATGGTAACTGGCTGGAGCTGGCAGCCACAGCATATGGCCTGTTTGGAACTTGAATTCACTTAGTCTTAGAGCCTGTAGTAACTTCTGTAACAAAAAATAGATGGTGTCTCAGTATAATAGTTCTCTGAGGGAATTGTAGAGGAAGAAATAGGGGCTTATAAGGGGCTTCTTGTAATGATACACAGACATGAGGTATAAATGCAGGGTTTACCTCACACTTACATACTTGTGCCTTAAGAGAAGTTACAACTCAAAGAGTAAAGATATAAGAAAATTTCAGTAACTTGAACCAGTGAGTCACCTAAAAGCACAGACTAAATATTTTGGACAAAAGCAAAGATGCATTAGCTGGATGTTGGTGGCTCACACCTGTAATCCTAGCTTCTTGGGAGGCTGAGATCAGGACAATCGTGGTTCAAGACCAGCATGGGCCAAAAAAAAATCAAGACCCTATTTCCAAAATAACCAGAGCAAAATGGACAGGAAGTATGGCTCAAGTGGTAGGGCTCCTGCAACGCAATCTCAATGCCTTGAGGTCAACACCCAGTACCACCAAACACCAACCCCCACAAAAAACAAAAGCAACAAAGATGCATTCAACCAAATATCTACACCTTTTTTCCTTAAAGCTCAGTAAAACTTTTAAATCTTACAGTGAATGGCTATTTATTCAATTTGATAATGATAAAACACACAACCACAAAGGAAAAGTATTAATAAATTTGACAATTAGAAATGGAAATTTTGGCCAGGCCTAGTGGTATATGACTATAATCCCAGCAGTTGGGAGACTGGGGCAGGGGGTCCTGAGTTTGAGGCCAGCCTGGGCTACATAGTGAGACTTTATCTCAAAAGAGACACAAGCAAAACAAAATACAAAAAATGGAAATCTTCAATATAAAGATGGAAACCAAAAGCAAAAGGATATGCCACTAGCACCCTGGAGATTGTATTAGTAATGCATATAACTAACAAAGCATTTTTCCCCTAAAGATATGAAAGGCTTCTACAACTCAACTAAGAAAAGAGGGGCTGGAGGTATAGCTCACCTGAGCAAGACCTTGGCTTTGATCCCCAGCACCACAAAGAAATTTTAAAAAAAGATAAAACACCCCAATAGGAATTTAGGGAGCAATATCGATAGGAAATTCAAAATATGGAGATCAGTAATCAATAAGAATCTGAAAAGATGTTTAAACTCATTACTACTTAAGAAAACATAAATTAATTTTTGTTTTTTGTGGTGCTGGGGTTTGAACTCAGAACCTACACTTTGAGCCTACACTTCATCAAGATAGGGTGTCACAAGCTATTTGCCTGGACTGGCTTCGAACCATGATCCTCCTGACCTTTGCCTCCTGAGTAGCTAGGATTATAGGTGTGAACCACTGGTGTCCACACTGTAAATTGGAATAATAAAACAATTCCACCCCTAGCAGATTGTAAAAAATGAAAACGTGTGTGACAACACCAAGTATTGACAACAATATGGAGCTACAAGAACTGTCATCGTCTGTCTGTGAGAGAATAAATTGGTGCAAGTTTGAAAAGCAACTTGGAAATAGCTAATAAAATTGAGTATTTGTAAATCCACAACCCAGCAACTCTTCTTTTAGGTGTATGCACTGGAGAAATGTTTACAAGGACACACATATTTGAAGGCTCATGGCTGCATTGCTTATAACAATAAAAAAAAAAACTGGGAATAACTCAAATTCCCAGTAACAAGAAAATGGCAATATATTCATCTGCATGTGGTAGAATATTTACTGCTCACATGGAGATCACAGTACATGGTGTTTGTTTTGTTTCAGTGGTGCTAGGGGTTGAACCCCAAGCCCTAGAGTGTGAAGGGTGCATGCTACCACAGAGCTCACCTCCAGCCCTAAGTCCTTTAGTTTATGGTATTTAAGACGTTCGGTGGAGCTGGGTGTGGCGGAACATCCATATAATCCCAGCACTCAATAGGCTGAGACAGGAGAATATCCAGTTCAAGGTCAATCTGGGCACTACATGGAGACTGTCTCAAAGAAAGAAAAGATGCTCCACTTAAAAACAAAAACCAAGAGGAATCAATGTTTCTTTAAAAATGCCAGCAGAATGTCAAGATCTGTTGGACAAGCTTCTCCCCTGGACTTCCAGATAGGATCTCACTGAAGTAGGAGGCCATCAAGTATAATTATTTGGTTTACTTTCATAAACATTCACCATCAGAACAGTGAGAGAAAAGGAAGGAATTGTGCCCTAGCAGCTGAGGGAGGGGTTTCGTGTTCCGATGCTTTGGAAATTCAATTTTTTTCACTTTTTAAATTGTGCAATATATACCTAAAATTTTTACCTTGTTTTTTACTGCACACTCCAGTAGAATTGAGCACGTTATTATTATTGGGCAACATTACTACCATCCGTCTTCAAAGTCCATCTTGCTAAGCACAAATGCTGTGCCTATGAGAGGATAATTCCCCGTTCCTCAGGCTGTAGCCCTTGGCAGCCACAGCTCTACTTTTTATCCCCACGGGTTTGACTACTAGGAACCTGTATAAGCAGAATTCTGCAGCATTTGTGCTTTAGTGACTGGCTCATTTCATTTAGTATAATGTCCTCAAGGTTCATCTGTGTTGTTGCAAGTGCCAGCATCTCCTCACCCTTTAAAGCTAAGTAATAGTGCACTGCATGTCTACACCACATTTTGTTCATATATTCGTCAGTGGATGAACACGTGGGTGGATGAACACGTGGGTTGCTGCTCCTTTGTGCTACTGTGAGGTGACCATGGGGCTTTAAACAACTATTTGAGTCCCTGATTTCATTTCTTGGGGTGCATAACCCAAAAGCAGAATTGCTGTGGTTACATGGGAAATCTATTTTGGAGTTTTTGAGGAGCCACAATTTTGTCTTCCAGAGCAGTCACACCATTTTACACTCCCACCAAGAGTGTGAAGCGTTCCAATTTCTCCACGAAAACGCCTAATATATTAATACATGTATGAAATTCAGGTCAAGTCTAATTGATTGAAAACAAAGCTATTTTCATACATGGCAGCCACTCAAGTATTTTGTTGGATTCAACTCAGTCAATATGTTTATTGAAATAAGCTCAACACATATTGTTGAATTCCTACTATGCACAAGGCAGTATACTAGTCATTTCAAGTATTTTTGAGGGACACAAAGATGAGTAATTACCTCTACACTCAAAGAGTTTATAATCCAGGAATGTGATAAACTAAACCAAATATACAGTATATTGTCAAATTATCTAGCTATTAAAGCTAGGCATTTTTGCATTAATAATAAAACTATTGAGTACGACTTATATTCATATATCTTTTTACCTGTTTGTGTGCAAACACGACCAGAGGGAGGTCTGGGCTTGCTTCGATGAGTTGATGAAGGTATTTCTTGGCTTCAGGTAATCGGTTGTGATCTGCTGAATCCACCACGAAGATCAGCAGCAATCCCTTGGACAGGTACATTTCCCAGTGGGAACGGAAAGGCTCGCTGCCCCCAACTATAGACACAGGAGAGGAAGAAGTCACCAAAAAAAAAAAAAAATCACAGAAGTGTCACAGGGCACATTGGTCAGGTTTCTGATAAAGTGCCTCTGTGTTAGAGGGCAGACAATTCTGGTGACCACAGGGCTATTTCTGGGGAAACAATTGGTCCATGGAGTAATTAACCTTCACGAGTGGATCATTCATTCTGGAATCACAAAAAGTCAGTGCTTAAAACCTGCTTTTGCAGAGGAGCACTGTTTCCTAACGTGGGCCCTCGAATTGACTAAAGACAGGAAATGGCTAACCTGTGATGTCCGTCTTCCATAGAAATGGAAGGAACAAAGTGACAGTATGGAAAATGTAACAAGGACTACAAAAGGGAAAAAAACTTGCTTGTAGTCAGCTTGTGTGCTGGCCAGGTTGCTAGGCTGTTGTTCCTACTGAAGTTTCCCCCTTGTTTCTCTCTTTAATCATGCTGGGAGCCTAAGGTTAACACTTTTCTCCTTAACTAAACCAGGCAATCTTTTCCCTCTTATCTCTCTCTAACCACCGAGGAGTAAACTTGTCACCCAAGACATACAGCTTTGGAGATGTGGTGCCAGAAAACCAGGGGATAAAAACCAAGGCCAGCACCTATTGTAGGACATGCATTTTGTCACATACTTTGAACGGTGCTCCTAAATTCCCATTCAAAAAGTGAACATTTTCTCTCAGGATGGGGATGACAGAGCTTTGTCTTCTTTGTCTTACAAATAATAAACCTTATTTCCTTTTTCTCAAAACCCTATTCTCCTTATTTGTGGATTGGCATTGAGACCAGGGGACTGGCTTTCCAGTAACAAGACTAAATACAATGGGTATCTTCTGATCTTGAGAGCCACAGCAGATCTGTCACCCATTGCATATTCATCAATTGAAGCTCAGAAAATGGAAGTGGGGTACTAAGACAATTAAAGGTGGTAGGGTAAACCACATTACTCTAAAATAATCTTCAAATGGAGCTGGATTTGTTTGCCACCTTACTCGTACAATTTTTCCTTTGCCAAATCCCAGAACTAAGGGCTGGGTGTGGCTTAAGTGGTAGCACAACTGCCCAGCAAATGAAATGAGTTCAAATCCCAGTACTGTGCTCCCCCCAGATCCTAGAACTAATTTCTCCTCTTAATATTGCATTGAGAGTTAATAACATCCTGTAAGTATCATGAATATTTGTCTCCAGAGGAAACTGTTTGGTTAAAGGTGTACACATACATAATGGATTCTATTTTTGTTTAATTTTTCTCCTAGGATGGGGGTTGGCCAACTAAGGCCTACAGTGCAAATCTGGATGACCACCTCTTTTTCTACTGTCCACAAGCTAAGAATGGCTTCTATATGTTTAAATATTTGGATAAAAAGGAATGACATTTTGTGACATGTGAATAGTCTATCAAATTTAGATTCTAGTGCCCACAAATAGCTCCAACACAGACCTGTATCTGTTTCGATGTTGTCTATGGCAGCTTTCATGAGTGGTTGCAACAGAGATCACATGATCTACAAAGTCTAAATCACTTACTGTATAGCCCTTGACAGGAACAGTTCTCAGACCTCTGTCCGAGGTCTGATAAGGTGCCATTGTGTTAGTGGGCAGACAGTTTTAAACACTAATAGGAATATTATATTCTTGTCATCTTAATCAATGATTTCTTATTTTTTCATTAGTGACACTATTTGTGATTTCTCATTTTTCTTTGATAATTTCACCAGAAGTTTATCTATTTTATTGATCTTTTCAAGGAACTTCCTTCTGACTTTTTCTGATCTTTGCTACTGTATCTTTGTTATGAATTTCATTGATTTCTTCTTCCTTTTTTTTTTAAGTCTTTCAAAGGGGTACACCACTCCCGGAGGGACTAAAATAACAGGTTCATGAGTGGAATGGACAAAATAAACTCCTATTCCATCTTCCTACTCCAAAAATCCATTTAACATATTGTCCCCAAATAGAGGATGTATCATATTAAACTTCAAGAACAGATATTGCACTTGATCTTAGCCAAAAGGATTGCAAATGAGCACTGATCCCTCCCTCCCTCTCTTCCTTCCTTCTTTTTTTCTTTGTTTTTTGAGACAGATAGATATATAGCTCAGGCTGGCCTGGAACTTGCAATCCTCGTGCCTCTGCCTCCCAAGTACACTACCATGCCAGATGTGTTGACTTCTTTATTATCTCTATCCTTTTACCCTTTTTGGGGTTTATTCTCTTCTTCCTTTTTCTAATCTAAATTATGTATTTAACCCATCATTCTCAGATGTTTTCCTTTTAGATGTAAGCATTTAAGGTATAAATTTCTGAAGGTGTATTACTTTCTCAACATACCAGTTTTGATCAGTAGATTTCTGCATTGTTATTTTTAACAATGACTCAGTTCTAAGTAAAATTTCCATGATGATTTTATTTTTGAGCTATGAGTTATTTAGAAATGGAAAAATCTAGTCTGGGAAATGGATCCAAGTGGTAGAGCACCTGCCTAGCAAGTACAAAGTCCTGAGTTCAAACCTCAGTACCGTCTTTTTTTTTTTGGCAGCATTGGGGTTTGAACTCAGGACCTCATGCTCCTGAGTTTGAGCCATTCTGCCAGTCCCCTCCCCCCAATTTTTTTTAAATTAAAAAGAAAGAAATGAAAAAATCTGCCATTGAAGGGCTTTAAGTTGGTAAATGATTTTCTTAAGTATATGTGTTAAAATATTGTTCTTTGTAACTAGACCAAAACAAAAACAAAATGGTGACTGCAGTAATGTAAGCATGGGGGCAAGGGTATAACTGGTAAATTCCAGATATGCTTTGAATCTTTTTCTCTTTTTTGTCAGTACAGGTTGAACTCAGGGCCTCTTGCTTTCCAGACAGGTGTTCTACCACTGGAGCCATGGCCCTAGCCCTGGAGATGTGCTTTGGAGGAGGAGCAGTTCTGAGTGTTTTACCTGTGGACTGGAGGCAGGGAAGAGGAAGAGAAATCAGGGTGATGCCCAGGTTTCTGCCTGGAGCACCTCAAAGGGGTGAGGAGCCTTCCCTGACCAGCAGGTTATAGGAAAAGGAATGGATACAGAATAAATCCAGCTTTTTAAAAAAAACCATATTAAGTCTGAGAGGCCAATTAGACTTCTTTTTTTTTTTTTCTTTTTCAGGAGAGAGCGCGAACGCAGTCCCCGACTACCACAAATTATGCAGTCGAGCTTCCTATATTTGGGGAAATCGCAGGGGTCAGCACATCTGGAGTGCAATGGATAAGCCTCGCCCTGGGAAAACCACCTTTGTGCTCATGGTATCTCCCCTGCCAGGTAAGCATCCAATCAGACTTCTAAGTGGAGATGTTAGAAGACGTTTGGATATGTCTGGACTGAATAGATAATCAGGGACTCATTGGCACGTGGAATGTATTTAGTTTCACGAGCATAGATGAGCTCATGTAAGGAGAGAGGACAAAGAGAAGACAAAGACCTGACCCAAAGGTAGAAACAGCAACATCGAGTAGGTGGCCACTCCAGAACTGGTGCACAGTAGGAACTTACGGGCCACCTTCTAGTTAGAATAGGTTTGGGGCTGGTCTATAATTTCACTTGCAGAGAAGGAAGCACACTGTACTTACTTAGCTAGCGTGTTTATTTGTAGTAATGTGGGAAGAGGGAGATGATTATAGGAGATTATAGGGCATGCTAAAGCCTTCCTTTAAGCTTCCTTTTGTCACTACCATTGCAAAAAAAGAAAAAATAAAGGAGAAAGTGATTCCCACCCCTCGGTGCACTGTAGTATTAAACTACATCTGAGTTCTAAAGTGTAGGAAAATCGGATCCAGTGTTATCATTCCCGAGGCTCCTGTGTTAACACCAGGTCTGCCTTCGGACATAAGAAATGCGATTATTCCACGGGAGAAACAGCGCTTACTCTCCAGGAACTCCATTTGGCTGTCTTCTGTGCTGATGCAAACTGCATTGAAACCCAGGGTGGGCGCCACGCTGTGCTGCACTCTGTTGGCAGCTAGAGAGTGGAGGACGCTGGTTTTTCCTGCTCCATCCAGGCCTAGGACTAGGATCTGCTTATTTTGCTTCTGTGAAATACAAGATATAACTGTGAAATAAAAGATAAACCTGTGCTATTAGCACCTTGTTTTCCTGGCTCTTGACAATGTACCTGCCTATGGTGGGACCTAATATGAATCACTGAATTGCAAACTTTACATAATAACTTCACAAAAATGTTACAGGTCAAACAAAGTCAAACTTTACTCAACAGTTAATGTTTTGCAATTAGCCATTTCTAGTTATGTAATATTAATCTCACATATCTTTTTGGGAGATCTCCCAAACTCGCGGTCAGTCTACATGTTACATCTATATCTATCTATCTATCCATCCATCCACCTATCTATATAGGATATAGATATATCTATAGGATTTCTATAGGATTATCATAAGATATTTCTATGGAAGTGTTTTGAGTTCATGTCCATTGGTGATTGCACCAGAGTTCTTTGTTTGGATTTTGAGACCTACGTGATGCAAGTATTGACGTGTCACCCAGAGGCAAACAAGCAGTTAAGATATCATTATTATTAATCTGTCTTTACTTCTTGATTCTATAAATTGATTACAGTATCTTAGAGCAAGTTTCCTTTCTTATGTGACTTTCTTTGGTGGGGGGGGTGAGTTAGCAGTACTGGGCTTGAAATCAGGGCCTTGTGCTTGCTAGGCAAGCACTTGAGCCATGCCTACAGCCCTTTTTGTGCTTTAGTTATTTTTTGGATAGGGTCTTGCATTTCTGCCTGGTGACAGCCTTGATCCTCCTATCTATAGCCTCCCATGTACTTGGGATTGTAGTCCTAAGCCCTATGCCTGGCTTACTGATCAAGATGGGAGATCGGCTAACTTTTTGCTTTAGCTGGACTTGTACCTCCATTCGCCTATCACTACCTCTGGAGTGGCTGGGGTTACAGGTGTGAGCTACCATGCACAGCTCTCACCTTTTTAATATAAGTATCATGATTAAATGAAAAAGCTAAGATTGTAGAATTTGTTAAGCCAGTTGCAAATAACAAATGAATATTTGTTTTTAAACCTAATCTTAAAAGCTGGGGGCTGGTTTTAACTCCTGCCTAGTAAGTGTGAGGCCCTGAGTTCAAACCCTGGTAACTCACACACAACCTAGTACACTGGATGCAAATCTAAAAAGAAGCATTCTACCCACATACCAGCCTTGGGTTAGGAAGGGATCAGAAGGGCAGGCTGGTGTGAAAACAGTTTAGGGAGCTCAGAGGTGTGGCATCTGTGGTACAAGCTTCAATATAAACAAAATAAACAATACCATCAGACTGCACAGAGGAACAAAATTCCATTTACCAAACATCCACTTCTGTGCACAGAAAGTCATCACCTTTGGTTGCACTGGTTTCTGTCTCATTTCCTTACTCTTTTTTCCTGCCTCACACATTTCTGCTGTTCTACTTGAGCACCAAATGTTGACTTTAGATTTTGGCTGCATTTCTGGAAAAAAGTGATCTTAAACAGCTTTACAATGTCTATCCTACCTGTGGTTTTTTTTTTTTTTTAAAGATCTGTGTGCAAGTAAAATGTTTTAAGGTATCAAATAAGAGAAAAACAACAAAGATGTTTTAAGGTCTGTCCTAACAGGGACTTGTTTAAAGATCATGGTGTAAGCAGTAGAGTGCCTGCTTTGCAAGAGCGAAGACTTGAATTCAAACCCCAGTCCCACAGCAAAAAAAAAGAGGGGGAGTTGACTTCCTCTGATGAACCTAACTGGGTACATTGCATGCATACACGGAAATGTGACAACAAAACCTACTGTGCAACTATTAATATTAAAAGAGTAAAAGTGGCTTAGAAAAAAAGTAAACAGCATAGTTTATGAAGGCTACTTGCTGAGTAACAGAACTTGAAAACGAAGTATATATTTTTTCTTGGAGTTTTTTTCTTTCAGGCAGGACCACAGTTTTCTTGGGGCTTTTACACACGCACACGGCATCACAGGAAAAGGTTACTAGGGACAGCAAGGTGGCCATGAGGCAGGGGGTACAGTATGCTTCCTCACAGCCCCAGGCCCCGCTGGGTCTTTCCTTGGGGCAACTGAGGGACGCAGGTGGCTGCTGGGGCAGGCTCGGGCTTGGTGGGGCATGAGCACGAGGTGTTGGAGTTCCTGATGGCTCTTGAATTAAATGGTGCTTTCATGGGTGTTTTCTATCTCCAGCTTTACCTCTTTCCCCACTCCCCTATCTGCTTCTGAGTGTCATAAGGCCATTCTGAGAACGTGCTAAGGTAAGGAAGAGAGACTTGATATACCAAGAAGTCTTCACTGGGTGTTTTTAAATTGCACACTTCAAAGTGATAATGGCACCAAGAAATGGTGGCAGGGTGTGGATTGTGCCCAACCAGGCCCCACACAGGCTCCCCAACATACTTTATTAATTTTAAGATGCACATCATCCCATGTTAGCATCTTTGAAATTAAACTGTATTTCACAATCAATGGTATGTCATATTTTGATTGACAGCATTTTTTCTTAGTGATACCTAAAATAATGGCATCCTAGATTATTATGAGTTAAAAATAATCTCCTACTCCTTTTGCAACCACACTGCTGAACTAAACCCATCCTATAAAATTCACATTCACTGATGTTTTACATTTTGCTTATATTTGCAGTCTAAAATACAGACATTTGGGGCTGGGGGCATGGCTCAAAAGCTGGAGGCCTGCTTAGTAATTGTGAGGCCCCCTGTTCAGTCCCCAGGGCAGAAAAATAGCTTAAAAAACAGGTATTGTACTGAGAGTTGTAGAGTGCATGAGCTGAGGCCCCTCAGTTCAATCACTAGCACCAAAACCAAACCAAACCAAACCAAATCAAATACAGGCATCCTCATGTTTATCATTTCTAGGGATAGCCAAGAACATTGTCAATCAAGAGTTCAGATGCAAAATGAGATTCTAAACTTCATTGTTCTTTGTCAAAAGTTATTCCTTGCTGGGCACAGGTGGCTCAGCCTGTAACCCCAGCTACTTTGGAGGCAGAGAGCAGGAGGATCTTAGTTGGACGCCAGCCCCGGGCAAATAGTTCCAGAGACTTTATCTTGAAAGTACCCAACACAAAACAGAAGTGGTGGAGTAGCCTAAGTGGTACTTAGCAAGTGTGAGGTACTGAGTTTCAAACCTCAATACCGCTAAAAAAAAAGTTGTTTAGCCATTTATGGATCTGTGTAGTTTCTGTTTGACCAGAGATCAGGCTCCATTAATAATATAAATTAAAGCAGCTCTAAGCCAAGGAGCCAGAGCCTTCCCGGGAACTTCAGGAATCCTGCACCCAAAACAATTCCTGGGATCCGAGATCTGTCAGTTACAAGTCTGCGACACCCCAATCCGGGCGCTGGTGGTGTGAAAGCCACGCAGTCAGTCATCACGGCGCCGAAGGAAAAGAACCCAAGGGCCTCAAATACATTCTGGATAAATCCAGGCGCCTTTGGAGCCGCTTCTGCGTTGGCAGGCGGTCTGCGCGGGGGCGAGGTGGACGGGACAGGGACCTGAGGACCCTTCCCTGCTTCCCGGTGATCGACGATGACGATCTCGGGTTCCAGGTAGGGAGCAGGGGCTGCGGGCCGTTGGAGCGCGCACCCCCTTCAGTCCGCTGCCGAGCCGCAGGTGAGCCCCGTTCCCTCCCGCGCCCGGCTCGCGACGCAACAGAGCCGCGGACAATGGCCTTGAGGCAAGAGTCCCGCGTACCTGGTCTACCAGCGGCTGGAGCAGGGTCATTGTCAAGGTGCTGTTCTGTTTCTCTTGGTTTTCTTTAATTGCTTCCTTCTCGATCTTGGTCTCCTCTTGCTCTTTCTTCTTTTCCTCTTTATCGTTTTTCTTACTCACCTCCTGGTTCCCTTTCTCCTTCCCCTCCTTCTTTTTCCCCTCCTTCACCTCCTTCTTTTTCTCCCTCTCTTCCTTCCCCGTCTCCCTGATTTTCTCCATCTCCACTTCCTTCCCCTTGTCTTTCTTCATTTTCGCCCTGTCCATCCCCGCCGTCCCTGTCTCCTTGCTCGCGTTCGCGCGCCCGCGCGCCGGAGCGGCGGCCCTGGGTCCCGGCAGGTGTGGCCCGCGCGGGGGGCGCAGGGCAGAGACGTAGGTCCTCAGGGCGTAGGTCACACCCGCGGTCGCCACGGCCGCTGCCAGCCCCAGCGCGCACAGCCTGCGGCCGGGCATTTCGCGACAGCCCTCCTGCCTGTGGCTGCTTCGCCGAACCTGGGGGTCGGGAGGAGGGTCCCCGAGCGGGAGAGGGAAGGGCGAGGGCTGGGGAGTGGGTCGAGCCCAGCCTAGGGGAACCGGGAGGTCCCAGCTTGCGAGCCGACCGGGGAGTATCCTCGCTGCAGAAGTGTCCCTGGTTGCCACTTGCTCCAGAAAGCGCATTGTGGCGCGATTACGCCTGATTAGGCAAGGTTATCACAGAAACGCCTTCCACATGGGCTGAGTCTTAGCGTCTGACCTCTGTGGCTTCAACCCCAACCGCTGTCTCCAACCTGGAGAACACCTAGGTTTCCTGAGTCCCGAGTGTCCCCAGAGGAGTCCTCACACCTCCCCCCAGCTCACAACGAGGTGCCTAAGACCAGCCAGGTTGTAATATCTCCCCGCCCTCCACCCCCGGTAAACTCCGTTAGGATTATCTGCAGGGCTGGTATCCAGAATCGCTGGTTAAGGACAAGTAGAAATGTGAACAATTTGTTTGAAATTGTTTCACTTCGCTCAAAAAAAAAAAACCTTCGGCTGGTGGAGTGGCTCAAGTGGTAGAGCGCCTGCTTAGCCCCGAGTTCAAACCCCAGCACCATGGTGTGTGTGTGTGTGTGGCTGGGGGCGGGGTGGGGGAGGAAGGACAAGCATTCTCCGGGGGGTTAGGTATCTGCCAGGACCGGGGCTGCTAGTGTCCAAAACAATTAAGTGTAAGTCTTGTCACTCAATGACCCGCGTGATAGAAGCTATAAAGCTTCTCAAAATAGCTGAGAACATGCGTGGTTCCTTTATTTTCTATTAAGCTGGACTCGTTAGTATACTTCACAATTTAACAAAGTTAGTTTTAGGCTGGTGATGAAGCTCCCAATGTAGAGGACTGGCCTAGCAGGCAAGAGGATTTGGATTCATCCCCACCACTGCAAAAAGATTAAAAAACAACAAAAAAAAAGAGCCCCAAATTCGCTTGTACGTGAAACTGATTTTAAGTCATCTGATCTGTTGTCAAATAAGCTTGGAAGGAACATGCATGGTAAGTTCCAGAAAGCTTCAGTGATACATTGTTTATTTTGGGCCTCCAGCCTTTTTGTTCTGGTTGTTTTGGAGATAAGGTCTTCGTTTTTGCACAGGCTGGTCTGAATCACCATCCTATTTTACACCTCCCTGTTGGTGGAATGATAGGTGCATGACATCACACCTGGCTTTTTTCCATTGGGATGGGATCTCGAAAACTTTTTTGCTCTCTGTTCACCTGGAAGCTTGATCCTTCTGATTTCAGCCTCCCAAGTTCCTAGGATTACAGGTGTGAGCCACCTGCACCTAGTATGACGCAATCATTTTTAAGGCTTATTTTTAGTTGTCTTGAAAATGCTATGCTTAACCTTAAAAATGTTTACTTCTATCTATACACATACCAACAGAATGATTTTCCAGTAGACTTTTAATTGGGTTCTCCCAATCCCCTAACCATTTGTTTTGTGGGGTAGGGAAAATTTTTTAGATATTTAGCTTAAAATTCTTCAGCTATACTAGCCAGGAAGCCCTCCATAAAATGCCAACACCCAAAACATCTTTATCCATATCCACTGCTAGAATATTTTATTTCAAAATGTGCCACAGTGAATGGATGTATCCTTATTGGTTTTTATAAATGTACACATACACATTTGTATATACAAAGTTCGTATGTCACTCGTTAAAGATCTGTCCAAAAGAAACAATTACTGGAAGGTTAATATAGATGTTTACACTTCATTTGACAACTTATTTGAACTGAGGTTTCAGTTTTGAGCAATGACTAACAGTATCAATGTCTACTGGGAACAATGACTACAATAGAGAACTAAATTTCACCCTTGTGTCTGGAGGTCACAATTTTCAAAGATGGATGATTCTCACAAGATTCTGTTGCTTAGTTAACCTAAAAAATGATTATCAGTAGCCACAGAAATTTAATAGAATCCTAAATAACAGATTTACAAACAATTATTCCTATAATGGGGTACTCAGAAGGAATAAAAATATGTTAATCTTACCAAGACTGTTCTCCACAAAGCTCAAAAAAGTATGTCAAAACAAATCATTCTTAGTTTAAGATCTCTTTTTTAGGTGCCACTGCATCTTGATGATGCTAAACAGAAAGGCAGCACCCATTTCTTACCCTATAAAGGAGGAAAGCCTTTAAAAGTACTCTTTGAAGAAGTTGCGGTAGATATGATCAGAGTCAAACACAGCAGCACTTTATTAACAAGGACAGAGTAATCTGATCACAAGGAAATATGTCTAAAATAAATGATACTGTGGGCAGCATAAAATGAATGTATGCATCCCAATGTGTGTCTCACATGTTGAATTATGTGGCTTGTAAGCAAGGAAATACAAAAGCAACACTTATACCACAGACTGATTGTAGCTCATTTCATTACTTTGGGAAAGGTAATGAATGGTCATAACATAATTAGAAAGAGGAGCCACTGGAGTATCTATTAATTGGGTCAAACACTCCTGTTAGATTTCAATACTGCTTGATATTGTTTCCCCTCTACATAATGAAGTCAATGTTTATGTTTTTGATAGGGGGCCATTAATCTTTTTGCTTGACAGTCCAAACTCATGGGTCTGAGTCAACTAGTTGTAACATTGATATATTTTTTTGAGGTCTTTAGTAATCAGCATGTTAGCATAATCTGAAAATGATGAGGGGCACAAAGGAGCGGTATACATGTTTATGTAAAGTAGCCCGTATTACAGTAATACACAACAGAGAATTTATTTCAGACATTTACCTTAGTCTTTTTGTGAGCACTCATTTAATTAAGCAAAGAACACCAGTGTTTTAATAAGGTCCCTTTCAATCACATAAGATTTCTAAACAAGTATCTGGAATGCTCAGAATATCCTCTTTCAGTCTACTAGGGACTCCTTAAGACATAATTTAAAGTGGTACTTGAATAGGAACAAGTGTGTTCAGACTCCAGTTAAAACAGTAGAAACAATTTGTTTAATCCTGGGAAACCTCAGATAATGTGCCTTATTTGTGAAAAGGTAAAAGGACAAGTCAGCACACAAAGACACAGGATGCAACAGACATCAAGGTAGGAAAATGCCCAGTCATCTTCAGTCCTCACATTCTGTGCAAAGCTAGGTGGTACAAGTAGGTCAAATCTGACTAGGCAGTTTGAGGAAGATGTTTTCCCATTTGATGTGTAAGAAACTGTTTTATGACAATACGGGGATGGAAGAGGGTACAGTTCTGTGCTTCTTGCTGTGTTTCCTTTATTATGTTCCTCATGTCAGTGACACTGGTTTAGACAGCTTGCAACAAGAACATTCTAATCACCAGCCACCTTTTCCTCCTTTCTTCTTTCTCTGCTGCTGTTTCTTTTTCGTGGCCGGAGCGCCTGCGGGTTTCTGGTGTCTTGGGGGTATGATGTTACTTGTAGAAGCAGGTACTGCCGCTGCACTGCCAGGCCGTGGGGAGGTGGGTGGGCTGCTCACAGTTTTACTGGCATCCCTGAAATCATAAAAGTGGAAAAGCTCTGATCATTTAGAAACTCAACAAAGAAAAAGGGTATAAAAATGTATATACAGCATCTTACTTTCCACCCCTCACAATTTCCTACACATTTTACACTTCTTTCAGGGTGGGTCCCCCAATTCCTAGGTATTTCTTTTAAATAAAAGTTTCATACTACATTTAAGAAAAAGTAATAGGCTGCGCCATCTTTTCCCTGGCCAGCCTGGCAGTTTGGGCCTGCCATTAAACTTTGCTCTATGGAAAAAAAAAAAAAAAGTAATATATGATCCATGGCAAGTTCTAGAAAGCTTAGAAAATAAAAAAAAATTAAATGACCTATAATTCTCTGTAGAAATAACCTTTTCTTGCTGTTTTTCGGCAGTACTGCAGTTTGAGCTCCGGGCCTCACACCTGCTAGATAGGTGCTCTACCACTTCAGCCATGCCCCCAGTCCAACTTAACATTTTTAATACTTCTTTCTCATTATTAGTATCTGTTTATCTAGTTTCCTTTTGAAACTAAATACAATCTCTAGCTTTTTTTTTTTAAGCACTGGGTACCAGGGCCTTGTGCACTTGTGCTTGCTAGGCAAGTGTTCTACTATTGGGCCATACCCCACCCCCCACCGTGTACAACATAATCAAGTATATATGAGTATACCTCTTATACTTAAAATACATTAACAAATCCTAACAGCTTTGAGTCAATCTCAGAAATAACGTATACTCTAAGTGACATTCAGTGTAGAACCAGTACTCACAGTTCAGAGGAAGCTCCTGCAGTTGCTCCCTGTGTCCCTTTTCCAATCTGATCCTTCTTTTTACCCTTCTTTCTTCCTCGATAGTAAGAACGTTCTCGCATTGGTAGCCATCTTTCTGGATCTGGGGTGACTTTTGGGTCATAATTCTTAGGCAGTTTTCCTGTGTAACAATTGATAAAGAAATGAGACATGCCTTTGACAGTTTCAAGATAGTTTGTTTAAACAATATCCCCATGTCTGGAAATAAATAAAACTACAAATGAAATCTGAGAAATTTTTATTTGTATAATCTAGCAAGGGGAGGTCCTTATTTTTAAGCAAGACACAAAATTCACACGTTATAAAGCAAAAGATTTCACAGAAGTATCTATATAAAACTTAAAAATTTTTATCTGATAAAAGCATAATACATTTAAGAAAAACAGTTCAGTCCCAGCTACTCAAGAGGCAGATATAGGGAGGATCACAGTTTGAGGCCAGCTGGGGCAAAAAGTTCTTGAGACCCCATCTTAACCAACAAGCTGTGTGTAGTGACACATGCCTGTCATTCCAACTACTTGGGAGGCTATGGGTAGAAGGATCTCAAGACCTTACCTGACAAAAGCAAAAAAAAAAAAGGGGGGGGAGGAAGGGGGAGTAAAAGGGGGGAGGAAAGGGGAGTGGCTCAAGTGCAAGCCCCAGTACTGCCTAAAAACTGAAAACTCTAAACTTTTATTGACTGGGGCATGTAAGTATACAATTATATGCGTGTTTGTATGCGCAAAAATACATTCAGTAATCATCTCTGGGAGCAAGCATTTGTGGTAAGAAATTTTCCACTCTTGATCCTGTCTTTTTCCTTTTTTTTAGAATGAACATATATCACTTTGTAAGTGTCAAACAGCGCTCATCTGGAAAAACCACAAAAACTATGAAGAAAGTAACACTGCAGTTACTGCTAGCTACACTTACAGCTCCTTGCTTATAGTATTACTAACACATAAACAAATACTGAATTCTCATCTGTTACTAGGTACTATGGCGAAAGTGAAGAAGCAGGTAGAACCTCTAGCTGAAGGCCGGGGAGTGAATGTGAGCAGGAGCTTGTATACCTTTTCTTAAGCTCTAGTAAAATGATAACAAACACATCAGAAGAAGAATAGGAAAGAGAATGTTACAATAAATTTTGGAAACTGGAAAACAGATGGTACATTGATAATAAACTTAGTGAAGACTTGGGAAACCCGAGTCTGAAGAGAACAGTGGGCAAAATTAAGAATCAGTGGTGAAGTGGTGGGCGCTGATGGCTCCTGCATGTAATCCTACCTACTTGGGAGGCTGAGAATGGGAGGATCAAAGTTCAAGGACAGGCCAGGCAAACAGTTCGTGAGACCCCCCATCTCTAAAATAACCACAGCAAAATGGACTGGAGGTGTGGCTCAAGTAGAGCATCTGCTTTACCCCACTCCCACCAACGATTAAAAAAAAAAAAAAAATCTGATTTATTCTCTAGATTCCCCCCAAACTCAGAACAAGTGGGTGGATCAGGGATAGTCTCTGACTTGCTAGAGGTTAAAGAACACTGCTTAAGCAAATCAGTGAACAATGATTAATGGTTAATGGTTCAGGACTCACACTGTCAGATTAATGAGAAAGGCTTGCCAGAGAAGTCCTATTTGTCCTGCTGGATGACAAGAACATTGCTCTATCACTAACAAACACCCTCTGACTAACATGATCTGCTTTTGTGGTGAGCAGAACAAAAAGACACTACTACTGGGTCAGCCAGCCTTGATGCTAACTTTGCTTTAGACTGCCAGTTTTAGAAACTTAAAGGAGTTTATGGTATTTGTAGCAGAAAGATCCTAAAAGTATAAGGGTCACTGAGTGGTAGGAACTGTTCTAAGAGCTTTACATGTAGTATCTCGTTTGATATTTTGAGGCATCACATCCCATTTTATAGATGAAGATCTCAGGCAAGTATATTAAGGCCACAGTCATACAGTCACAGACCTGAGTTGAGGCAGTCAAGTTCCAGAGTTGCAATCTTTAAATAGTAATGCCAGCTACAGTCAAGGCAAAAGCCAGTGTTCAATGACATAATAGGAGAGGGCACTGTATTTACGCACAAAGAGTTCTATAGAGGGCTACACTTCTCAAGCTTTCATCTTGTAACAGGGAATCTAAAGAATTTTATTTTAAAAACACTTACCCTTTTTTTTCTTCTTCTTCTTTTTCAAGTCTCCTTGTCTAAAATGAGAGGAAAAATCATTACTATCATTGTGATAAAACATTTATAGTGCCTTAACTATGTGCAAAAGAGCAAGATGGGTGGTTTATCATAAATATATTTTTAAGCCTTTGTACCAGCTCACCAAAGCTAACAAACTAGCTGGTTAAATTCAATCATGATTCAGATGCTGTAATTTTTTGCAAGGTAGTTTAGAAAAGAGGTGACAATTATTTTCAGAAAACACCAATTACACTGAGAAAAACTTAAGTGGCATACATAATGTAAAACCTTTTCAACGTAAATTGGCATCTGTTCTCTGAAAACAGTTAACTGTCACCTCCTCAAAATTACCTTCTCAACAGTATCTGAAGTGTGATAGGCAATTTGCAAACATGAAAACCTACAACATCTCAGTATATTACCCTGTGTTTGGCAAGACTTTAAAGAACTGATAAATTCTTTGCCAGATGAACATGAATTGGTAAATACCTGCAAAACATATCTCTGGAAGGACATGCAACAAGCTTCATTGGTCACAGACGCGGGAGGGGAAGGCTGGACAGGAGTAGGAGGAAGACTACTTAATCTGTACATCCTGCAGGATAGGCTACGCTCTGCCACTGAGCTACACCTCCAATTCTAGCTTTTGAATTCTGAACCTTGTGATTTTTAAAACTTTTTTTAAATAAGTAAAACCCTTATTAACTATACTGACAAGAAAAAGATACTGAAAAGGGTCTAAGAAGTCAAGAAAATATTTAAAAATAATTATTAATCACTCTGAAAGCTACAATGAAGACGACAAAAAAAAAAAACAAACAAAAAACTCTCTGCATATACTCATATATGCTATACCCCTGTGAGAAGTATGAAAAACTGAACTGAAAAGATACCAGTAGTTTCTGCCAAAAATTCATTCTTTAAGTCATTCAACTGTGAAACTTCTTTCAGGCTCTCCTGAAGAATAATAATTGTAATGCATAGTATCTTACTTTAGTATTTCACCTCTCACCAGGCTTTGAAATAAAAATTCTCCACAGGCAGGTTGGGAAGTATGGCTCAAGGGGTAGAGCATCTGCCTAGCAAGTGCAAGGCCTTGGGTTCAAATCCCAGCACCGCCAAAAAAGAAAAAAAAAAAGTCAAACTAAGTAAGTGAATAAATTCTCCACAGGCACACCTACAATCTCACAAAGGTTCTCTGTGATTTCTTATTCCCTGCTTACACTTTGCCTACCTCATCCTCCTAAAAAATCAATACAGTCACCACATCTGTGGAGCCTTTCTGAACTTGTTTCTGTCCTTGGGAAAAACTGTTCCCTCTGGTGTACTCCTCTATATCTGAACAATCATAACACAGACAACCTTTACTGAAATTACTTAAATGTAATTCCTTCTGCTTCATTTTTGGTCAGCATCTAGCATAAACCAATCATACTTCAAAAGAAAATAAACCTCTGCACCCAAAAGGTAGCATAAAAGCAGTAATAATGCCTAATGAAACTATGTGCTGAAATTTTAAAGCTTAAAAGTCAACATACGTCTTAATGATTTAAGAGAAAAAGAGAAAGAAAATTAAACAATGAGAAAAGTATTGCACATTCTTAGTAGTAACCCACCTGTGCTTTGGTTAAAAAAAATATACTAAAAATATTTACATAAGTGTTAGGTGAAAATCTATTTATGATCTTGAATTTATTTTGGGGTTCTGGATGAGACTTGATCATATGATGACATGGAATCTGGGGCCGGGTGTGGTAGCACATGACTACAATCTCAGTACCAGGTAGGCTGAAGCAGGAGGACCACAAGTTAAGAGGTCAGCTTGGGGTACATGATAAGACTGAATCAAAAACCAAAGCACGTAACAGTACAGAAAATAAAAGAAACGGAATCTGGAACAATGTAACATCTTTGAAATTTCTTTTGAAAGTCATTCAACGAAGGGAAAAATAATAAAAAAAACTGTAAGTCAAAAAACTGTAGAGGGCTGGAGGAGTAGCTCAAGCAGTAGAGCGCCTGCATAGCAAGTGTATAGCCGAGTTTAAACCCTGATACCGCAAAAAACAAAACAAAATAAAAAACTGTAGAGATGTTTGCACTCTTCCAAGCTCTACTAGTTCTGAAACAAAACTAGAATCTTTATTTTCTGCAGATTTTCTGCTGTGTTTTAGACATGACAATATGGGAGAACGAGGAAAGATTCAGGACTTTACCTCCTATAAGCAAATGCAGCTGGCTACCCTTTCCTCCAAATCAGCAAAATAAGCTATGTGAACTATGAGTGCAGAACACTAAGTAATATACTACATGTACATCAATAACTTACAGGTAGATAAGGTAGGGTACCTCTAGCCAATGGAGTGTCTTGGATAAAAACAATGCAATATAGCTACATTCAGTACATGGAAAGATCTCCAAAACTTATTAAATGCAAGCAAGTTTGAAAATAGTGAGTACAAGGGGCTGGTGGAGTGGCTCAAGTGATAGAGTGCCTGCCTAGCAAGCATGAGGCCTTGAGTTCAAACCCCAGTATTGTACCACCTCCCCCCGCAAAAAAACCCACAGACAACCAAACAAAAAACAACCAATCTAAGGAAAATACTTATAACCCATCTCTGAGTGCAAACACAAAGAAAAAGATATAGAGGATATACTAAGTTAATATCAGAGTTTAGTTGTGGCCTGGAGGGATGGGAGAAATGTGGACTAAGAGTTGGACACAGTGAAAGAGCAGGAAAAGAAAAAATGTGGAGATTTAAACTCTATTCACATGAAATTTTTATATGAATGTATTTTTTATTTCTTATTTAACATCAGCATTAGAGGGCCGGTGGAATGGCTCAAGTGGCAGAGTGCTTACCGAGCAAGTAAGGTCCTGAGTTCAAAGCCCAAACCCCAGTACCACAGGGTGTGGGTGGAGGCGGGGAAGGGAGGAACAAAATAACACAACACAACAAAACAATCACCCAGAATGTTTCAGAAGTATTTTTAACTAGAAAACCAAAGCTAGATGTGGTGATGAATGCCTGTAATCCCAGCACTTGGCTGAGGCAGGAGAAGCTTAAGTTCGAGGTCAGCCTGGCCTACATAGCAAGACACTGTTTGAAAAAAGAAAAAAGAAAAAAAAAAAAAGAAGAAAAACATACCCTTGTTCCTTTGGCTGACTATCTCCAGTAAGTTTTCCACCCTTCTTTCGAACGTAAGTAGCACCAGCAGAATTTTCAAGAGCCTCGACATCTACTTTTAGAGACATACTATCCGATGAGGGCAAGTGTTTACTAAGACTGTGATACAACAGGAGTTTAGGAACACAATACACATACACGTTTGTCAACATATCTATGCTAACAGAAAAACACTCTCTTTTTCTGCTGCCCTCATCAAAAGCAAAAAATGTTCTTAAATCGTCTAGAGAATAATAAATCAGCAAGTGTATCAATTTACAGCATATATTCTGAAAGGAGAATCTGAAAAGTCAAAATCTAAGCCCCATTCCTTAACTCAGTTATATCCTTCCAGGGGGTTCCAAAACAACTCTCAAGCTTATGAAATAGAGGCTTGTTCAATCCAAAGGCTTTCACTTGTGGATGCAGCATTCACCATCGCACTGCACCATGGGAACGAAAGGGCTGAATAGAGTAGGACTTAAGACCCAAGCTCCATCAGTCAGGACACTGAATCCTTTCTTTGAGATGGGCATATGATCTCAAGAGTTTAATCACAGTAGCACTTTAGAATTCATGCAAGACTACCCACACAAAATGCGCTATTTATATATTTACTTAGTATTGTTAAGACTTGAACCTGGAGGAATCTAGGGTTGCATCCTGTTGGCACCATGGGTCAAATTTCCCCAAGGTGGATCTACTGCTGTATTTTTAAATAATATTGATTAGCAATTCTAATTTTTGCTTTCACTAGTGAGGAATAGTTGTTAGTTGAAACTGACAACAGAAACACAGGTACCAGAAGAGCTCCAGTGTGCTTTGCAGAGTCTTGTGAACAAGTCAAAAGGATACACTTTGGCTTTCTCCGGATCTACCAGTGAGTAAGCAGAGATAAGCTGGGCCAGGGTGTGAATGTCTTTTGGATTTTGTCTGAATGAAGAAGAAAATTACTGAGCAGTTTATAAAACAAAGTGACAAACAAGGAAAATCCCTCCCTCCTACAATAACAATATGGGTAATGTGCACTTCAACATGGCCACTTTCCAGAGCTTACTTCCATAGCTGTTCCAGGTCACTAACTGCCTCCTTCTTTCGCCCATATTTGAGTTTGAAGTTTGCAGCTTCTCTTATCAAGGACAAATGAGCAGGAGATTTGGGCTAGGGTTCAAAAAAGATGTTTTAAGTTAATATCTAGTAATTTAATGAAGTTTTATTAGACCTTTTAAACGAACCAATCTACTGAATTATGGATGTCTAAAACAGCAAAACCACAAACAGCAAAGTGAGTAGACATTAATACAAGTAATTACCGATTTAAGAAGGGGGAACATAGCCCAGTTCTATTTAGGTTGTCTATAAGTAGAAACGTCCCCATAAAATGAAGTCTTAAAGATATGCCATAATTATTCTCAATCACTAATTTAACACAGTACTCCCCCCTCACACTGCTAATAGTGACAGCAGTATAAATGCCCCTTGTGCATATGAACATTAAGCCAGATACTGGAAAAATTAGATGGAGACATGTAAACAATTATTTCATGCACTGCAGTTCCAGTAATTGCCACAATTCATCGCCTCTCTACCCAGTTAAGATGTGCTTTTTTTTTTTTTCCTTTTTTTGGCTATATTGGAGCTTGTATTTAGGGCTTCTGTTTGCTAGGCAGGTGCTCTGCCACTTGAGCCACACCTCCAGCTTTTTTCCCTTTAGACTGTTTTTTAGATAGGGTCTCTGTTCATTTTTCACTGAACCACCTGACAATACTCCTACCTAGGGCCTCCTTGTAGCTGCAAACACAAGCATGCATCCCCACACCCAGCTTACTGATGAAGATGGGGTTTCCCTAACTTTTTGACTGGGCTGGCCTCAAACAGTGATTATCCCAATTTCTACCTCCTGAATAGCTGGACTATGGGCGTGAGCTACTGCACCTGGTCAGGATGAACTGTCTTATATGCAATCATGCAATATTCCATTCTTACTTCTTGAGATTATGCACACAAACACATGTATAAACATGTGGGAAGGAGGCACAAAAATATAAATCAGCTGGAGATATAGCTCAGTGATGAAGTACTTGTCTACCATGTGTGATGCTCTGGCTTTAATCTCCAGCACAGGTATTTTCTTTGCTTTTTGTAGCATTGGTGTCTGAACTCAGGGCCTCATGCTTGCTAGGCAGGCGCTCTTACCACTTGAGCCACTCCTCTGACTCCAGCACAGGTAAACAAGAAAGTTTTTTGTTTTGTTTATTTTCATTTTGCAGCCATTCCTTATTTCTAGTAAGTTTATTTGGACCCGGTATAGTTTAAAAAATGAATTTGAGAGACTGGAGGTGTGGCTCACGTGGCAGAGTGGTTACCTAGCAAGTTCAAGGCCCCAAGTTCAAACCCCAGTAACGCACAAAAAAAAAGAATGAATTTCATACTCTAATAGCATTTCATTTTTAAAGTGGTGATTACTCTATTTACTTACCTGGTGGCTTTGATACCACTGGATGGCTTGTGTGAAGACCTCGATGGCACTATCAATATCTTCCTCATGGCTGTACATGGTCACTAATGCAGACACCTACCCACCCAAAGGAACAGATTAATGAACAAAATTCTCCCTTCACTCCCAAAATATACTTTTTAAAAATGAAAAACGATGAATATAGCAAATAAAGATTGTTAAGCTCTCTTGCCAGTACCTAATTCACAATAAAAATTACTCTTTTTAAAGAGCATAATCACTTTATTACCAGAAATATATGAACAGCAGTGTTTTTCAAGTATGAAGGTAGTCATCTATAAAATATACTTTCTTCTAAAGCACTGCGGTTTACAAATGGTTTGGTAAATTCAGAGGTTGGTAATAAGTGCTTACACACGTTTATACTCTAAGACACCTTTGGATCAACTGTGTGATCAATAACATATATGCTAGTGTGGCTGCACTCCTGTGACAAGCTGCATAAAGCTTGCCTAGTAGGCTTGAGGGTCAGCGAGGAGGCCCACATGGTTAGAGTGTGTGTGTGGGAGTGGACCTGGAGGAAGAAAAGGAGACAAGCAAAGAATAGAAACAAAAGTTGGGTCTTTGAGAAAAATCAATAGAACTATGAAGCTCTGGTCGGTCTATTCACAAAAAAAGGAGCTATAAATACCTAATGTTAGGAATAAGAGGGGTTCTACTGATATTAAGAGGATGAAAAAGGAATATATATTATGAATTTATTCTATGGCAATAGATTCAACAACCTGGATGAAATAATAAATTCTTTCAGAGGTAACAAAAGGCCATACTAAAGCCTTAAAATAAGAATCAAGGGAAAGCAGTACCATGCTATTACACATTTATTGAGTGCTAATTGCAAAGAAGCTGTGCAGAGGACACAGATGTGAGTAACAGTACCAGCTCAACAGATGTACATTTTCCTATGTGTCTCTACTATGGAAAAGATGCTTTAAAACAGACGGATTAGTGATCTAAACCTGTGATATTTGAAAAGAGAACTAAAAATAAAATTTTTGGTCACTATTACTAAATCTTTTTTAACTCAAAAGAAACCAGTGATACAATAAACAAGTTAGTCTTAGAAATTCCCTAGATAGGTCTGAGATTGTTCCAAGTTGGCTTTCACTGTTAACATAAAGTCTAACTATTGCCTGGCACATCTGACTGAATAATAAACCAACAAAAGGCAAAGCAAAGAATGAAGGTAAATTTATACCAGATAAGTGTTATTATTACAACTCCTACCATAAATAAAAATTAAAGTGAATACAAAGAAACATCAGACATGCAAATAGACTTATCAATTGTAATATTTTTTCAGTCTTGTAATAGTTTGCTTGGAACTCACCATGCCTGGCTTATGCTTTAGTTCTTCTATGCTTCTCAATATTAGACATGCTTTGGAAATATTACCTTAAGAGATTAAAAACAAAATTAGCACCACAGTAGAGGAAGTATATTATGGAAAAAGTACAAGAAATTTTTACTTCCTCTCTCTTTCCTTAGGAAAGAAATCAGGAACCTTGTTTTGTAACAACTTGAAATACACAAGCTCTGGGGTTTTGGGGATAGTGTACTCTTCATTTTCAGAGAAGGAAATTGACTTGCCAAGAAATAATGTACCTTGCCTAACCTTGCAAAGTTAGTGGCAGAGCGGCAACCAGAAAAGAAGGCTTACAACTTTCAATCTGTTGGGTCCTGGTTCTCCTTTACCAGACTGTAATTTGAAGGTGGGGAGGGGTCTTTGCCTAAAGGCCTTGACTCGACAGACTTAATGTGATGCTGTGCTGTGCTGTGCTAAATGTTGACTACAATGGAAAGTCTGTGGTGTTAAAATTCTGATTTTTCACTCACTGCAAACCTCAATACAAACCTTCCATGCTTTAAAACAAAACAAAAAATCATGACAGACTCTTAGTAATTTCAGGGAGATAAATAATCTTTGTGAAAATAAACTAAAAACCAGGGAGGACAGAAGATGAAGACAGAGGGAAAGGAACAGAAAAAAGAAGGTGAGGAAAAGAAAAAAAGATGAGGAAGAAGGGAAGGAAATATAAAAATACAGTAACAAGGAGGTTAGCAGTATTCCTTAACTCTGTTTTTACTATTGCCTTATTAAGGAGCTTTTTAGACATTTTTCCCCCAATCGCCAAATGTCTTCTCCAAACTCATGAAGTTTTCTTTTCAGCCATTGTCACCCCCATTGAGAAAGCATGCGCTACAGCAGAGCCATTTGATAGCATTTTCTTCAATGATGGAAATGAATTTTTTTTTTTTTTTTTTGGGTGGGACTGGGATTTGACTCAGGACTTTAGGTTTGCAAAGCAGGAACTCTAAAGCTTAAGCCACACCTCCTGTCCATTTTGTTCTGGTTATTTAGAAGATGGAGTCTTCCAAACTTTTTGCCCAGGCTGGCCTCAAACTGTAATCCTTCTGATTTTAGCCTCCTAAGTAGCTAGGATTACAGGTATGAGCTACTGATGCCTGACAGAAGAACTGAATTTTAAGTTTCTTTGTTTCTTCTTTTTTCTTGCAGTACTGGGGATTGAACCCAAGGCCTAGTGTTTGCTAGGCAAAAGCTCTAATACCACTTGAGCTACACCCCCAGCTAGGCTAGTCTCAAATTAAGATCCCCCTGCCTCCACTTTCTGAATAGCTGAGATTACAGGTAATACCACAATGCCTGACTTGCGTTTTAAATTTCATTTAATTTTGATTAATTTAAACTTCAAACAGCTGCATGTGGCTAGTGGCTAGCATAGTAAGCAATTCAATTCTGGATAATCACTCAAGCTTAGTTTAAAATCGCAGACAAAAACATTGGCAGTTTTGTTAAGAATCAAACAAATTAAATTGTAAGTGGCAAAGTATAAAAGAACAATAAAGGGCCAACCTAAGAAATACTGGAAACAATGCAAAGTAATCCCTTTCGTATTTTACACATATATTACCAAGTAACAGAAATAAACATCTCTACACATGACATACTCAGGAAATACAAGTAAGAGTGGTCTTTTGGAACACAAGAATCCTATGTTTCTACTGACCTCCAAGGCCCAGGATGAAAATCAATAGAACAATTTAGAAATAATCTAAGACAAGAGCCAACTATCTCACTACCAAATCTGCCGGCAACCACATAGCTAAGTTTTGGGTTTGAAACAATAATTATGTCTTACCACTATGCAAAATATTTAAAATCAAGTATTAATACCTTGGGAAATTTTCAGCTGTGCCATGGTTAGCTTAATTTCAGCTGCGTTTTCTGGATGTTGATCTGAAAATTCCTAAATTTTTTTTTAGTTGGAGAAAAAAACCCACAATTTATATAACTGCAGACATTATAATTAATTATCTCAGCTAAGTTAAGATTTTAAATTCAGCTTTAAAGTATTAAACTTGTGGTTTCAGGTCAAAATCTGAACTTGGAAAGTTTTTATTCAATACCCACTTTGCTTTAAAGGTATGCTCTAAAAATGTCAAGTTTCCTGGAAGTCACTAACAGAAAAACAGTAATTACTACACAGACCTTTTTTTTTTTTTTTTTTAAGAAAGGAAGACACTTGAATGTTGCCTCCAGTTACTAGGGATCCCTAGTAGGTAACTTTGCCTCTCAGGATGATCCTAATTTAACTGTTTCAAGTTTCCAACACAGTCTACATTCACAAGCTTCAAATATGTAATACAACAGCTGGTTTGGGTTGATAAAAACCAAGCCAGTTATCTCTGTAACTGTTTGTGTCTTTGGAGTAGGACTCACAGAAGAATCCATCATTGAAATGGGTTAAGTATGTTTTGGTATTATAACCCTAAAACTAAGTGGATCTCCAAATGAGTAGGTGGTTCTTCAGAGTTTATGACAAATATTTACATAATGTAAATTTATATCAAACAAAGCTAGAATTAACTAAAATGATACAAATTATCTAGTGGTACATTGTCTACTAGATTGCAAATTGTTATACTGTAATGCACAAACTTGTAGGTTACTATAGTATAACGAAATGAGACCAAGTTGCAACAGCCTGATAGCTTATTAAAAATTCAAGCACAGTGTCTTTACCTGAAGTAGCTCTATTGCTTTTGTGTGCTGTTTTTCACGGCAGAGCTGGGCAGCTTGGATTAACACAGGCAGGAGATGCTCTGGACTCTGGGACTGTAAACCAGCAGATATTTTTCGGCATTGTTCTGCCTATAAGGTGTTCCCCACCAGACAAAAATAAGCTGGTTAATAAAATTAAACACCAAATATCCAAAAGAACAAGAGGGATGGGGAAATTAATTCCAATAAAATAGCAGATGAAGAACTACATTGCGTCAGAGAATCTATTCATAGCATCTACTCTTAATTTTTACTTCTAAGAAAAAGATTTCCATTTATTTATATTTAAGCCATGAATTTTAAAACTTTAGATAAGGACAAGTTATAAATGTTCACTTGAATGCCTAAACTCCACATTAAAAAAACTAACACATCAAGCATAGAAACTACAAAACATGTATTTCATGGCAAAGTATTAAGAATAATCCAATTCAGTTCTACTTAATAAAAACATTTCTGCCCCTCACTTTCCCACTAAAAATCTGTGCTGTATGGATGCATGAATTCAGAATACATATAAAGTTAGCACTGACCTTCAAAGTTTTAACTTGTGATTATGCATAACTAAAATAAAAGGTAGCTCTTAAATAACCATGACTGGTGTCTCTGATGATTTTGTTTTAACTTAATTCAAGGAGATTAGAAATAAAGTAATGAAATGGCTAGGAATAGAGCCCCAAGATAGAGAACACCTGCTTAGCATGTGCAAGAGTCTGAGTGGCATGGCAAAAATATGTAAGTAAAAAAGGAACAAAATAATGAGAAAGCCACCTTATTTAAAGGTATTATTAATACTGTTTTCTTCCTCTTACAAGCCAGTAACCCCACATCCTCATAAAGAATTGGATGAATTACTTGCTTACAATATCTATGACACGACATTCCAAAGAAGAAAATAAGAAACAAATGAAAATATAAAGCGATTAGATTACTACACCCATTATACCTCATATACCATATTACCACAGAGTTAGCCAGGGGACCAGAGGCCTATTACCTACCTGGTTTGTGTACATAGCTAGTAAAGCTTTGTTAAATTCTATAGCTTGCAGCTGTTTCTTGGAAAGCTTAAACTCTACTCCTTCTGCATTGGTTAATTTCACCTTCTTCTTGGAGTCAAAGACATTTTGGTCCTGACAAAGAAAAGTTCATCTACCATTAGCAGAATCTCCAACTTTTACCCTTATAAGCACTCCAAGGCTTTATTCCTCTTTCATTTTATTACGTATATAAAAACAAGAGAGCTCAGCTATATCTACCTGGCTGGGGTGCCTAAGCTAATAAGACGCATACCAATTTGTCTCGGGTTCTTGGTTCATAAATGTAAACGAAATCTGGGCAATTCAAATCTACTAGTGCATAGGTATTTATTCCACAATCTACTTATAGGTATAAAAAAGGTTGAAATTAGCTGCATTGAAGGTAAGAATATGATTTTTGTTTTATTTTTCCATTATTAATTGCTTATTTTGGGTTTTTTGAAGAAAAAAAAAACAGCACAGGACCATAAGGACACCTCCCTTAGCAATTCCTATAAGCCATGCCCTTTAGAGTTTAGATGATAAATGAACAAAGTAACTCACTTCTGTTTGAAACTGTCACTTTGTAAGTAAATCATTATACAAATTTCTAAAATACTCATACTGCTATGGGACCTGTTTTTGGCAGAAAATGCTCATGTAACAGTTATAAAGAATACAGATCAGGAACTTAAATATATACAATTATTTTTAATTATCAGAATAATTTTTTTATGAATTATTTTCCCAAGCTGGCCTCAAACTCTTGACAGTGCTGGGATTATAGACATGCACTACTACACCGGCTTACAAAGAAGTTTTATTATTTTAATATACATCACAGAATCATCAGTATTATGAGAGTTAAATAGTACTTCTTCTCATTGTGATTTTGCAACACCTGAATTTGTCTTTTTTTGGTTATGGAAGAAACATTCTAGAATAAAGATGGGATAATCATAAGATACACAAGTAGGAAAGTCATGGATACAAATACCTTATTAATGGTGATGATATTATTTGCAATTACAGCTAGTAGTCCTACATCTGTTGGCCTGTGAACAAGAAGAAATAGTTAACACAGAACAAAATTTTAAAAAGAAGACTCTCCCCTAAAAAAGATACTTCATTTTTAACAACTCACTTTAGTTTTATTATCTGATTGTAAAGTTGCAGAGCCTCCTCTGTATGACCCTGAAGCTGCAGAATATAGGCCATCTGACCATGAATGATGGCCAGTTCTGCCTGTGGGTCTTCCTCAGCCCCGTCCTAAGCAGAAGAAGAAACACTGTTTTTTTCTCTAAATTTTCCAAATTGATCTACATATTTTACCACTGATCCAAAGTTGAAAGACATACTCCTCAAGAAGACATGTTAAGTTCAGAAACTTCCCGAGAATCAGTTCTTTGAAATTTACAATTGCCACTAAAAAGAGTTGTTGAAGAGAAAATGGCAAAAAGCTCTTGAAAGCACATGGCCACAAACTCAGGAATACAATGTATTGATCATTATTATCCTCTGAAGCCCAAGAATGAAAAAAAATTGTCAAAAACCAAATGCAAGTTTAACTTTCTACAATACCTCTAAATTCTGGAAATGTAATTTTCTTGCAAGAATACATTTTGAAAATTTTCTCTTACTAGGAATGGTGGCTCATCCCTGTAATCCCAACTATTCAAGAGGTTTAGGCAGGAGGATAATGGTCTGAGGCCAGCCCTGGGCAAAAAAGTGCAAGACCCTATCTGAAAAGTAAGTAAAGCAAAAGGGCTGGAGGTATGGTTCAAGTGAGAGTGCTTGCCTAGTAAGCACAAGGCCCTGAATTCATAGTTCTACCATAACTCTATGCTGAATATTACAAAATTTTAATTAACACTCTAAAAACAACTTCAAGCCTGGAATTCTGTAACTAAAAGTAGGCAGCTCTCTTAATTTACACTCCAGATTATTCGATATTCTCTTATCCTTCCAGGAAGGTTGTATATGCTCCTATGTACAATGACATTCAAGGGCTAGGGTGTGTCTCTCAAGTGGTAGAGTACTTGCCTGGCAAGTGCCAGGCCTTGAGTTCAAACCCTGTACCATCCAAAAGGAAAAAAAAATTTAGAGAAACCAATATTCAAAGTTGGACACTATTCTCTTTTTTACCAACCCAGCACTCTGGCTCTGATGTGGACTTGCTAAGCAGGAGTCAGATGTTTGTTCTCAAACACATTATGCCGCTGTGTTTGATAAGGGAATATCGAACATTACAGTGAAAGAACTCTAACAGTGGAAAGGGGCTAATTTCAATGCAAATCATTTCGAATGCTCACAAAGAGTTGCTAAAGGCAAGTTCTAAAGAAAATTACTGTCTGATAAGGTATGAGCCAAAATAGTGATGCAATCTATTACAAAAAAATTGGTAAACAATACAATTGAAGCCTTCTGCTCATTATTATGCAAAAGCATAAAGTCTGGGTTTAACAACAGTAGAATACTTACAGAGTCTTCTGAAAATGAACGGCGGCAAAGATCTATAGGGAACAAATGGTTTCAAATTTAGCATTGTTGGGTAATTTCTGTTCCTTTCACCATACCATACCAAAGAACAAGAACTAAATTTCTCAGCAAAAAAATTCAGTATCTTTTGCTGGTAATATCTGCAACATTAGATCAAGATAAATCTTAATGAGCAAAATTAAAATCTGCATTAGCTTCAAAAATACTCCATAAATATTATTGGTCTATGATCATTCTAGCAATTTGGCACGTCTTTCATTTGTAGTCTCTGGGCTAAAATTTTTAAAGGACATTACAGAAAATATGATGAAGTAGTGTGGGCACTGGTGGCTCACACCTGCAATCCTAGTTACTCAAAGCCAGAGACAGAAAGATCACAATTTGAAGGCAACCCAGGCAAATAGTTTACGAGACCTTATCTTAATAAAACCCAACTCAAAAAAAGGGCTGGTGGAGTGGCTCAAGTGGCAGAGTGAGTGCATAGCAAGTGTGAAGCCCCAAGTTCAAACCCCAGTACCACATACACACAACAAAAAATGCCATAAGTGTTGGTTGTAAAACATCAATGATATAAAAGCATAAAGACTTCCAACCACCTACTGATAAACAGACCTAGCATTTCATTATTCAGTTTTTTTTTCTTTTTTTAAATGCAAATGAAAGTGGGATTGGGGTGTGAGCTCATATCTGCAATCACCAGCTACCTGGAGGTGGAGATAGAGAGAGAGGACTGTGGTTCCAGGCCAGCCCAGACAAACAGTGGGAGCCAGTATCAACCGATAAAATCCTGGGTATGATGAGATGTACCTGTCATCCCAGCTACATGAGAAGCATATATAGAAGGATAGTGGTGCAAGCTGGCCCACGCATAAAAGCAAGACACTACTGGAAAAATAACTGAAGCAAAAAGTATTGGCAGTGTGGCTCAAGTTATAGACCACTTGCTTATAGCAAGCACAAGGCCCTAAGTTAAAAAAAACAAAAAACAAAAAACACACTGGGCTTGGTAGCTCATGCCTGTAATCTTAGCTACTCAGGTGGCAGAGATCAAGAGGATGGAGGTTCGATGCCAACCCAGGCAAATAGTTTGGTCAAAACAACCATCCATAAAAAAGGGCTGGTGGAGTGCCTCAAGGTATAGGCCCCGAGTTCAAACCCCAGTACTGAAAAAAAAAAAAAAAAGATGTTCTACTTACTATTTATTTTGTACTCTCCTTCCTTCAGTTTAATATACTGTGGGCATCTTTATGTTAAATAAACATGCACCTATGCTTTTTTTTTATATTACTGGTTTTAATGACTGCATGGTAACCTACTTTGTGATTATAGTAAAACACAGTCAACCTTTTAATAGCACAGAAACTCATGGTGTTTCTAAATTTTTGTTCTCTTATCACTCCCCAATTAACAGACATACAGATACATGTGAACTTATCCCATTTCAACTTTTAACTTAAAAATAAAATGTAATTCTTGGGACAGAGTATGTAAATTTAAGAATCTGCAACATACCACCAAATTACCACTGCAAAGTCTGTACTATTTTTATACTCAGATCTGCAATATATGAGAATGTTCTTCCTTACTGAGTATGATCAAGAAATTTTCTTGTGAGACAGAGCCTTGCTATTGCCCAGGATAGTCTTAAAACACCTGGGCTCAAGTGATTCTTCCACTTCAGCCTCCCAAATGCTGGGACTACAGGTGTGAGCCATCTATCTAATCTATCTATCTATCTATCTATCTATCTATCTATCTATCTGTCTGTCTGTCTGTCTGTCTGTCTGTCTGTCTGTCTATCTATCTATCAATCATCTTTATGGTGCTGGGGACTGAACCCAGGGTGTTGTGTATACTTGGCAAATGTTCTACCATTAAGCTATGACCCTAGCCCTCAAATAGTTCACAATTAAACAGACCCAGTTTCACTGTTTTTTTTTTCTCCCTCCCCACTTCACTGAAATCCCTATAACATCCCTTTTATAGCTTCTGGGGAAAATGTATGGAGTAGAAACAGTCTAAATGTTCTTTATAAATTTTTTCATTTTGGTGCTGGGTACTGAACCCAGGGCCTTGTGTAGGCTATAATTGTGTTCTACCAATGAACAACACCCTCAGCCCCCATTTTACTTAATCAAAAGCTTCAAAGCATGTAAATACTGTGCATTTAGTATGCATATTAAACGGAGTTAAAATGTGCTTGGTCTGTAAATGTGTAAATGTAGTGTATCTTTGTGCATACACATACACAGAGGCATGCCATATTACCTACCTGAGTAGAAATAATGAAACAATAAATAACATTTACTGAATGTTCTTAATCATATACCATGTTTGGTTATAAATGCTGCTATTAATTCATTCAATTTACACTTAATATTCAGAGTAAGTTGCTTCAAATACTACTCTCTTAGAAATAAGTAGAAACATGGTCAAAAAGAAACAGACTAGATGAACTCTGAAAAACTCTCACTGCTTCAGAAACTTTCATGATAATTTCACAAATGTCAAATAGCATTTTTAGAGACACCCTACAAAGTTCTATCCACATTTTATTTATAGCAAACTTTAAAGAACTTCTCACCCTCAGCTTTTTGCAGGATTTTCATTGCCTGGTTCAGCTGGCCTTGTCCTATCAGTGCACATGCAGCATTGTAGCACAGTTCGTGTGTGCCTTCTTGGAGGCCCAAGTTCTCCTGACATGGAGCAAAACAGCAGTCAAGCACTAAGCACTGAGGAACATTATTTCCTGGCTGTATGGTAACATAAGAATACTCACTGGAATGACTTTTTCCCAGTTGCTTTGAGCTGCAACAACTGCTGAAAGGTTTGTTTTCCTCTCCTCATCATAATCATCTTGGGAGTTCCGGACAAGATCTCTATATACAGCTAGGCACTCATCATATCGTTCTAAACGGTATAGCTAAGTGACAAAATCAAGTAAATAAATTAGAGATCAGTGTTATGTCTCTAACTCCACATGCAAGTTTTTGTTAAAAGGATTACTTCTATGTGCCATAATGCTTTCAAAAAGCTACCTGGAAGCCAGGTGCCTGGTGGCTCACTCCTGTAATTCTAGCTACTTGTGAGACTTGAGATCAGGGATTACAGTTCAAGGCCAGCCCAAGCAAGTAGTTCTTGAGATCCCATCTCTAAAATAACCAGAACAAAAAATTGACTGGAGGTGTTGCTCAAGTTGTAAGAGTGCCTGCCTAGCAAGCATGAGGCTGGCCTTGTGTTCAAACCCAGGCCCATCCAAAAAAAAATAATGTAATCAATCTTTCCTATAGATTTGTGGGTATGATTCAATTTAGAAAAAATAATTTTATTTAAATTCCTTCTTGAAACTAGTTAGGTGCCTAGAGAGATTATGAAAGGAAATCTTTCTATAGAAATCTATCCTGTTACCTGTATGTGAAGTTAAAATGAAAAAATTTCCATACAAAATGATTACTAAGGCTGGGCATGCTCACACCTATAGGAAGGTGGAGATTGGGAAGACTATACTTTGAGGCCAGCATGGGCAAAAAAAAAAAAACAAAACAAAACAAAAAAACCCCCATCTCAACCAATGGTTGAACAAGGTGGTATAAACTGTCATTACAGCTACCAGGGAAGCACAAATACAAGGATCATAGTCCAGGCTGGCCCACACATAAAGTGAGGCCCTCTCTCAAAAATAATCAAAGCAAAAAGGGCAGACAGAGTGGCTTGAATGGTAGAGAGCTTGCATAGCATGCAAGGCCCTGAATTCAATCCCCTAGTACAACCATAAAAAAGATTGCTATGTCCCAGTAAATAGGAACAAAATTAAATATTAACATAAAGACTTAATATTTCCTAGAGTTCACTATATATACCTTGTTTTCTGTTTTCCAGAAACAAGGAGTCATCATACGTAACTGTTCACCTACAATATAATTCCTGCTTTTGAATTCAGGGCCCTCATGCTTGCTAGGCAGGCGCTCAACTGCCTGAGCGACTCCACCAGCCCTGAAGTTCTTAAAGTAATAGTGTCAGCTGCTTTATGTCAGTTAGTCTGCTATGTTGTGACAGACTGGTACCTTCATCAACCATGTAATGTACCCTATACACAGTTTACACATTTCTGTTTTCTCATCATGTCTCAAATCCTTTTCAATAAAATATTTTCACAGGGTCTATTTTCATAGAATATATTTTATGAAGAAGATAAAGTCACCCAAATTCTTACCCATCATGATTTTAACTTAAAGTACAATGCCAGTTAGGTATTATAAAGAAATACTGTTTCAAATATGTGTAAGTACATAAACTCACTTTTGTTTTCTTTAATTTTCTAATTACCTCAAGGGAGTCATTTGTTCATAGAGAACTATATATGGAACTGCTTGAATGAAGATCAAGAAGAGGGAATATGCTCAAACCTCAAGAACTGGTTTGGTGGTCAGTTCTGTGGAGCATCAGGATGGGCTGGGTTTCCTTATCCCTGAACCATGCTAGAGGCAGAATCATGCTCACTCAGGATGACTGTCAACAGGTATTTTAAAGCAGTAATTACCACTTGTCCATAAAGTTCCTTTAGCTTGTCTGTCTGCTGGTTGGTACCTTCTATTGTCTTCAAGGCATTCTCAATTCTGTTCAGCCTGTATTCGCAATACGCCTTCTCAAAGGAGAGAGAGTTACTGAAAAAGAAAATACCAAAATCTGATTATTATCTAACAATGAAGAACACTAACTGTATACCAGACATTGCTCTAAACACTTGGTATATGTTAATTTCTTTCATCCTAATCCCCACAACGAAGGTTAATGACTTGTCCAAAAATCATAGAAGCTTGCTTAGTGGCAGGAAGTGTTACACCCATCTCCTCAGTCTTTCTCCTTTCATGGATATTAGCAAAATACATTAGTCTTTGAAACTAACTGCTAAGAAGGCAATCATAAATCATCTCAATAACCAATTATCTTAGAAACAAAGACAATATGAACATTTAAATAGACTATTTAACTTGTTCAAGAAGCAAATTAGCAAAGAAAAAATATCTAAAGTAAAAGAATGTAGTATTCATACATGTATTTATTTATCTATTGTAACCAAACAACTGGTAAATGTACAACTCAGACTTAAAAATTCATCTATAATAATATGTTACATGAAACTCATTTTGAAATTTCAAGTATAACCCCCAAGAAAACTATTTATTAAAGTAAATGGCAGCCTGGCTGGCGTGGTGATGCACACCTGTACCTGTAATCCTAGCATTGGGATGAGGCAAGAGGATCAAAAGTTCAAGACCAGCCTGGGCAAGACCATGTCTCAAAATACCACAACAAAAAGAAAAGAAAAGCAAATGGCAATATTTTTTGTTTCCCTTTACCTAACAATTTGTTTTTTTAAAAAAATTTCTCTATCTCACAAAATGGCCAAAATTCATAACTCAATTTTAGCATAAACGTATTTTAATAATAGAAAGCAGCATCCTCTTCTGTCTCTCTTTATTTTTATGAAGTTTAAAAATTAGTTTTCAATCTGTAATACAACTATATGGCACAAGTATAAAAACAAAAAGATATATGCCAAGAAATTTTATCCACTGCTATTAAGATCTATTCCTTACCCTGTACAAGTGACTATTTTTATTCATTGCTTCTCCTTCAGCTCTGACATTGAAACAGCTTGGCCTAAAATCATGTTCACCTAAACAATTCTCAACGGCGTTAGGCACAGTGGTTAGGACTGCCACATCACCTGAGACTTCTACTAACATGTATGCTTATATGCTGTCAACACTGAAACATCTACCCTACTTGTTCTGACTTCTGTACCCTTTTTTAGGAATAAAACTTCGGTGAGTCCTTGCCCCTGTATCCTTCATAGACTCTTATTATATTTAAGTCCCACATTAATCTACAGTTTACCTCCTCCTTAGTGGATCCAAAGGAAGACAGGAGAAAAATAATAAAAGGGCCCCTAAGGCAAAAAAAAAAGGTATTGCCGCTTCTTCTAGTTTTAGAAACACTACTGGCAAACAAAAGAAAAATAGAAGGAAGGAAAAGTAAGCCAAAAATCAGTGAGCAGTGGAATAAAAAACCATGGAAGAGGTTATAAGTCTAATGAAAGTGTTTCTAACAACTGTACACTGAATCACTTACTTGGCTAATACTTTGGTGTGAGTATTGATGACATTCAAGGCTTCCTTGAAACTTCCATTCTGGATAAGGCATACCACTTTACAGTGTAGGGCTGTTACATCATCCTTGTTGATCTGCAGTACTGGAGAAAAATTTTAGGAAAGTCATTTTTTTTTTTTTTTTTGGTGGGACTGGGGTTTGATCTCAGGGCTTCCAAAGCAGATGCTCTACCACTTGAGCAACATGTCCAGTTCATTTTGTTTTGGTTATTTTGAAGATGGGATGTAGAGAACTATTTGCCTGGGCTGGCCTTGAACTATATCTTCCTAATCTCAGCCTCCCAAGTACACAGGATTACAGATGTGAGCCACTGGTGGCTGGTAGGAAAGTCATTTTTTCCTTCACATTTTTACTAAAATTTCTAACTGCTACCTCAGGAAAGTACATTTCCAATTTTACTGCGGTACAAATTAGTCAAAACACTAACTGATCTTTGTTTTCATAGGTTTTTTTTTTCCCCTGCTGTACTGGGGTTTAAACTCAGTACCTCATGCTTACATTCTACAGCTTGAGCCATGCTTCCAGCCTCGATCTTTGGTTTTAACTAGAGTGACAAAAAGAAGTTATAAATTAGATTTTCCATGAAACAGAGATTTCCAAGATGGCTGAGGATGTAGCTCAGTGATAGAGCACTGAGCCAATGTGTGCAAGGTCCTGGGTTCAATCCCCATGGCCACCACCATCAAAAAAAAAAAAAAAAAAGATTTCCAAGATGCATGTACAAAAAAAGTACAGTGAAAATAATGTTGTGACACATGTGGTATCTTACATAGTTCATTTTATCACAGGGAAAGATAAAGTTCTTATAGCATTTGGGAGCAAATGACTTCTTTTTTTTGAGACAGGGTGTCTCTATATAGCCCAGGCTGGTCTCAAATTCTCAATCCTCTTGCCTTAGCCTACTGAGTACTGGAATTACAGATGTGTGCCACCATATGGCCAGCATTGGAAGTAAATGACTTAGGTGTAGTGCAAGTTTGCCACCAACTGCCTTGAGGTCTTGGGGAAATCATTTAATAGCCAAATATCAGTTTCTGATCTACATAATGAGCATGAAAGCATAACTTATTTGACGCAGTTATCAAGAACGTAACAGGAGTCCAGCGTTGGTGGCTCTTGCCTGTAATCCAGTAGCTAGCTACTCCAGAGGCAGAGGTCAGGATTGCAGTTCAAAGCCAGCCTGGGCAAATAGTTTGTGAGACCCTATCTCGAAAAAATCCAAAACAGGGCTGGTGGAGGCCATGAGTTCAAACCCTAGCACCGCAAAAAACAAAACAAAACAAAAGAAAACAAAACGTAATAGGAGAATATTTTGGGAAAATCTTACAAACTATAAAGTACACTGCAAACACAAAAACATTTTACAAACCAGAAAGTACAATACAAACACAATCTTGCCAACAACATTTCAAAAAACAAACCCAAAAGGTCTACAGGGACTAGTGACTAGAGAGAGGTACAAGGAGAGACTCAGGTGGTGCCAAGTTTCAACGCTAACAGCTGTTCTGTGTCAAAATAACCATATACCCTACAGCATCCAAATCTCAATCTAAGAATCAAAGGAATTTCCACCAATTAATATAAATTGCTGAGCCAACTCACAGCATCCACTGGTTAAGGAATTCCTGCAGAATACTAACTGCATTGGTACTAAGTGTATAGTGTTGGTTGAAGGCCTAGCAAAAGGATAACATTAATACAAATAAAAAGTTTAGGAATTAAACAATTCTAACTGGTAACTATTTTCCTCAATGTCTGAAATCAACAAAAGTGCACTGTGGGCACCATCACTACTTTCCTATCAACTCAGCAACGGATTGCTGAAGATTATTTTACACAGCCTGTATGTTCACTGCAATACCTTTTTTGTTACTATTGCTTTGCATAGCTGAACCGTTTGCTTACACTGCCAAACTTAACATAGGATGCATCTTCAGTAGAGAAGAGAACACTTCTGAGAGCATTAGAGGTCATGGACATGTTACAGTTTGTAGTAAAACGCATTGCACTATAATGCATGGAACCTCACACTGAAGGACCAGTAAAATCTGAAATTATCAATTAAGGGACAAAAAAAACTGGGCTAAACTTTTCTTCCAACGTTCAGATGTTAGTGCTTTTCCACACTCGTTCTGTGGTTCAATGACACGGGGTCGATTCCACCTGTGGGAACGGCAGGCCTGACATACAGACCAGCGTTTCCCTCTCCCGTGTGGCGTCCATGTAACTTGCACCTCGTCAACATAGCTAGTAAATTACGTGTCCCAAGCAGTTCCTCCCCCGACCCGGCCCGGGAGAACAAGCTCCCTCAACAACAGTCTCCGTCCCCTCGCTCAAAAGGATCAGAAAGAAAAGGCAATGTGGCGTATTTGCGAGATGAAGCAGCAGGGAAGTCAAAGAGTTAGGACGCGGTCCGGGGCTGCGGTCCCTTTAAATCCCTCCCTGGCGTCCCGCGGAGAAAGGAGGGTAGTACACGTGGCTCTAGGCAAGCAGGGACCCCAGGAGGGCACGGCAAGCCGGGGAAGGAGGGGGTGGCCGCGACCCGCCCCCTCGGGGCTCCGGGCCGAGCGGGGAGAATGCAGGATCTCCCCTCCGCGCGTCTACCGAGGGGGTTGCGCGCGCCGGAAACAGGGGACATCCCCCGCCGGGCCCAGCTGCCCCGGCGCCCGCCCCGGCACTCACTCTTGTTGACGGTCTTGAGAGCGCGCGTGAAGTCGCCGTTCTGGCCGTAACGGTTCACTTCGCTCCACAGCGCAGGCACCGACACCCCCCCGCTGCTGCCGCTCGCCATCTTGGAGAGACGCGGGGCGGGGCGACCTTTGCCCCGGAAGAAGATCCCAAAGTTGGCCCAGGGGAGGAGGAAGCTGCTGGTTGCTAAGCGTCCGTTGCGGAGTGGTCAGCGACTTAGTCCCGAGTAAGCGACGGGTACCATAACCTTCCGGTTTCGTGGCTAGAAGTGCGTGTGGAGTTCGTACGCTTGCCCCGAGGCCGTGCGGAGGACGCACAGGCTCACCACGCGGAGTCCGAGCGAACAGCGTGAGTCGCTGTGGTCGGTCTTTGGGAGATAAAAGTCTGTAGGGAGGTAAAGGAAAGTACCGAGTCGTGTGACAGGCACGGGGAGAGGATTCCAAAATGAGGAATTGGAATTTGAGAAAATCGAGAATGATTTGGAGAACTCGGCTGTTGCTGACTTAACTACAACCTCCGGCCGAGGCTCCACCTCTGAGCACTGATCATCCTTCAAGGCCTGTCTCCCTGGAAATGGACTATGTGAAGTCAGACAACGCGTTCACTTTGCTTATCGCAGTATCTCTAGGATCTAGAACAATGTGTTACTTTTTTATGAGTACCGTGTATGGTTGGTACTCAACTTTAATTATTTGCAGTACTGGGGATCGAACTCAGGGCCTCTCACTTGCTAGGCAACGCACTCTACCACTTGAGTCATGACCTCAGTCCAGTTAATCAAGTTTTAAACTGAATGAGATTATTTTTTGCCTTACCTGTCCGTTGAGGGCAGAAGCTGTGTCCATCTCCTGGTTATCTTGTATGGTGCCTACTACCTTTCACATCTGGTCAGTGTTGCACAGAGCAGAGACAACACTGATGGGAGGCAGGAGGATCAGCCTTAGAGGCTAGCCTGGGCTATGTGACAAGACTTTGTCTCAAAACCAACATCCCCCCAGCCAAACAAGACCTTGTGAATTAGTAAATATGAGAATTTGAGCTTTCCTTGACTCTGGAAATGTGAGGTTTTCAAGCCAAATATGCCTAGATCTCAGGAGTGGGCGTTCCAGATAGTATTTCTCAAAAGTCAAAATTTTGTGTGAATTTTTCTGAGAAAGGGTTTGTGGATTCCACTGAATTCTCTGAAGGTGTTTTTGAGCCTCCCCTAGTCAGTTAAAAGGCACTGCTTTAGTAGTGCTTTTTAAAACAACTTTTGAGAACACTGACTTTATATAAGGATTGGTAACATTAGGTGGACTTCATTCACGTTGTAGATTCTAGAAATCTCTCTCCTATGCATTTCTACTTGTTAGCTTAATGTAGTTTTGTGGCAAGCAGGATATATGTGGATTTGATCTATTTTTGGAACAGCAGTCTTCTAAACCAGTGATGTGATCTTTCATGTTTGTGAATGTCGGGAAGTCCAACATAAAAGGTACCAAGAGTGTGTGTGGCTCACAAATGGTGCCCTTTTAGCTGTGTCGTCTTTACATGGTGGAAACATTCTGATCTTTTAAACTATGTATTTGATGACACGCTTAACCCTCATGGTAAAATCAAACTAGGAAGCCACACACGTAAGGTCTTTTCTAGTCTGGGTTTGTTAAGAGATGCTTAAGCTGTTTTTGCTGAGAAGCACTGACTCCTTACTTGGGCCTGCAAATTAACTAAAAACAGAAGAAAAGCTTGGCACCTGTCTTCCATTTTCTATTTGTTGTCCTTTGCATGTGAGCCATTCTCTCCTGTAGTCACCTTGGAATCAAGGAACGACAGGACTGAACTGTAACATCCTTATGGTAAGGGAATGAAACTACCCTTAAGGAACAGTGGACCCGTGTATGACAAATCACCCCCAAAATGAGGTGATTACGTATTTGGTGAGGCTGCACCCTAGGGTAGAAGTAATAATTCCATAGGAACCAGATTGTTCCCTGAACTGGTGGCAACTTCTCTGGAACCTTCAAAGAACTGAGATAATGACCCATCAACACACCTGTGATTGTTGTAACTATGCCTATCTATCTTTTGTCCCTGGCCCTATTTCTTTCATCTATTTAATGTTAAAGCTCAGGTCTGTTACCTGAAGACAGCTGACAATGGACTGAGTCCTTCATTTTGTCTCTTCCCGTAGTGTGTCCCAGCAGTGTAATCTTTCTCTGCCTTTCACCACAGGTCTTTGGCTGATAGAGGTGAGAGGCCAAATCTGACATGGGGAATCCCAGTTTGGGCTTTGGGTTCAAAACTCCAGTTTCAGCTTCTGCTTGCCACCTCTTCAAATTACAATTCTGGTTACTGTGTTAGCTTTTCTGTTGTTTTGATAAAATACCTGAGATAATCAACTTCTAAGGAGATTTTGGCTCATAATTTCAATCTGTGGTAGGTTGGCTATGCTGCTTTTGGGCCTGTGGTAAGGCCCCATTATGGTGGGAAGCACATGGTGGAGCAAAAGTGGTCACCTCATAGTGCTATGAAGCAAAGAGAGAAGGTGACAGGGCTCTGAGTTCCTTCAAGGGTTTACCTCATTGACCTTACTTCCCTCCTCGAGGTCCTACCTCCTAAATGCTTCAACACTTCTCAACAGCGTCAGTGCAGCCAAGTGTTACAACACATGGGCCTTTGGCAGGGGAGGGATATTCAAGATTTAAACTATAGCACACTCCCTTATCCAGCTTGCATGCAATATTCCTCTGATGAAGTCATATGCAGTTCCATGTCTTCATACTTCTGGGAATTTGTACTTTTATTCATTCAACAATTATTTCAGTGCCTTGTATATGCCAGTGCTAGCCATTACGGGAACTGCTGGGATAAAATTAACAATAAAGATATCTCAGTATACTCATAGACTTGTATTTTCTAATTGGGATAGACAATAAATATATGCCATGCTTGGTCAAATAAGTTCTATGAGAAAAGGCAAGAGAGACTGAGAGTACGCTGAGGAGTTACGAGTTGCTTGTGTACACCTTTTCTTTAGAGATCAGTCTCTTCCCTTTGTGTATGAGGAGTATTTAGGATCGTGTTTTGAAATTATCAGTCCTTGGAAGATTCCAGGACTCACTGAAGGCAGCAAATGATTCTTGTTCACCAGTGCACTCAGGGTTTTCTACATCCAAGAAAGATTGCATTAATTAGTGCTCTCCACAGAAACAGCACCAATTCTCTGAAGCAGGCAAAAGAAATACTACTTAGTTACACATTACAAAGGAGACTTAATTCAAAGAGTGATATGCTCAAGGAAATCTCAATTCTACTAGTTTTACTGTACCATGATTAACAACTCACCCAAAGTAGTTGAGTGCATATGCACTATTAAAAGCCACTGAAAATGGCAAAGATTTTTTTTAAGAAAGGTCTTGCAATGTAGCCCAGGTTGGCCTCCACCTCATGATCCTCCTGCTTCTACTCCCCACCTGCTGGGATTATAAGAATGTACTAGCCAGGCCCAGCTTTCAAAAGACTGGTGGACTAAAAATGGAATGAAGTTTGTGAATGTTTCAAGCACATTATACTGCCCTTCTTACATATTTCAGAAACAAAATGCGCTGATGGTGATACTTAATTTACAGTAAATTTTTAGTGAGTTTCATTCATACTATAGTCTACACAGGCTGCCAAATGGATATTACAAAATATCCATGTACCAGGATATGGTTAATATATATTGACTCCTTTAATTCTTGTAATATTTGTGCTTAACTTTCATAAGGCATTAAAACAGCAATTCTAAGCATGTCTTTATGCTAAAAGTTATTTTATATGTTCATTCACAAGCCCATAGAAAGTATGAACACCCAGAGATGGCAAACCAGGTAGGTTTGTATATGTTTACTTTTTCAAAATAGTAGAAATAATGAAGACATATGTACTCTAGCACTGATGAACTACTCTGCTACACTCTACTATTGATAAAATTGATGATGACCATTGATATTGGCTAGTCCTATCCCACAGTCTAAAGAATTTTAAGAATTTGCATTTCACAATTAGGTAGAGTCTTTGCTGCACCTAAGTCTGAAATAGTAGCCAGTGACTATTCAAGGACCACGAAGCCAAAGTTTAAAGATGTTAAAAAAGCCAAGAAATGACCCAAGCCTTGTATGAACATATGAATAATAAAACAATAAAAAAAATCTTTTAGGTCTCTTTAATTGTTCTTATAAACAAGCATAAGATAGAAAAGTACAATTCTCCCATTTCTATCAGACACCTGGGCATAGCACATCACAATGTAACAGTCTGAGTAAAATATAGTGTAAAATTACGTTTTCTCCTGTTTTGGAGTTTACAGTTCAACAGACAAAGGTTATGGAAGGTTCATGGAGAATGAAGATGAAGGAAGCAGTGGTAATTAACAGGTAACTTTCTTTTCTTGGTTTGAGACAGGGTCTCACTATGTACCTCAGGCTGGCCCAAAACTCACAATCCTCCTGCCTCAGCCTCCTTAGTGCTGGAATTATAGACATGCTCAACCATGGACTATACAGTTTTAAGGGTGATAATGAGGACCTTCAACAAACTAAAGGTACAGATGTATGACAGTCCAAAAATTATGAGGAAAACAAGTTCCTTTGGAGGGTCACACCAGTGATTCTTAACCTATACACCATGGATAGGCTTCAGGGAGCCCAAGAGCCATTAAAAATCTGTTGGTAAATCGTGTGTGTAATTTTCTAAGGAGAGGGGCAACAGCACTGACATCTTCAAAGGAGTCTATGGTATGTTTTGGGAAATCAACCTAGAAAAAGCTTGATTTTGAATGGGGATCATTCAAATAAGGGTCAGATGTTAAGGGTCACAAATAAGGGTCAGATGTTAAATCTGACCCTTATTTGTGGCTTTTGTACAAGAGATGAGAGGACAGGATAGACTCCAGGGTTAATCAGAAATTAAAACTGGCCCAACTTGGTGATGTATGAGATATGAAAGATCAGAAAAACGGCAAGGTTGAAATGAAGCTAATGACTTGGGACAGTGAGTATACTATACTGCTGCAGACTTTATGAAGATGGGTTAAGTTTGAAGCATTTGTTTTTATGGGGTGCCCATGGAACAGACAGGAGAAATGTGGACAGTTGAAAATACAAATCTAGAGGCACAGAATTGGAAGTCAATAATCCTGGTTTATCTGATCAGTATTAATAAGGGAGGAAGTCAAAATTAGGGAACATCAAATATTTAAGGGAAAAGGATAAAAAGTAAATGATCAAGAGGATGGAATATCCTGCTGTCTAGCAAAAAGAAAAGGTTATTCATACCCACAGAGTTTAGGTGAAATAAGTGATAAGGCAGAGATACATGGAACACATGAGATAGTAACTACAAATAAAAAACCATGCCCTTCGTATATATCTGTAGACCCCAATTTAGAGAAGACTATTTTTTTGGTGGGACTGGGGTTTGAATTCAGGGCTTTGTGCTTGCAAAGCAGGTGCTCTTCCTGCTTGAGCCCCCCCTCCATTTCATTTTCTCTGATTATTTTGGAGATGGGGGGGGTCTCATGAACTATTTGCCTAGACAGGCTTCGAACTCGGCTTCCCAAATAGTTAGGATTATAGGTGTGAGCCACTAGTGTCTGGCCAGGCATTGTAACTTTTCTAAACTTCAGAGCTTTATAAAAGGACATTATTAGCATTTGTAAAATGTATTTTTGTGATTACCTACTACCTAACAATGACCATATAGTAAACAAGAGATTAATTTTTAAATGTTATAGTAATTTTACTACCCCTAAAGAAATGTTAATACCAACAAATATTCTACTAATCCATGAATCTAGAGAAGCATTTACCAATAAATTTGTTTTCTCTGATTTAAAATTATCTTTGTATCCTACTTAGGCTTTTTCTGCTACTAACCTAGAGATTTGTTCTTTGCTTAAAAAATTGAAATGACATTTTTTCTTATAAATTACATTCTCTGATTTTCTTGTCAGCCTGCTTCAATGAAATCCACGTGTTCAATAAGCTCGCTCGCAGTTTGGCCCATACCAAATGGTTCTTCAGCCCAAATATCTGAGCAGCAAACTGAGCTGATCCTTCTGGAGAAAGTATGGTGGAACAGCCAAGACCTGTTGGTTCAGAACGGAAAAGATAATCAGTTAATGAAGACACAGGGCTGAGGAGGTAGCTCAGCAGTGTAGCGCTTGCCTAGCATACATGAGGCCCTGGGTTTATCCTCAGCATCATGCACACACACAAAAAAGAGAATGATAAAAATATAGTATGATTATAACTTAAACTAGATACAGCCTAGTTCTTAGAGATACACACATAAGCATTAAAGTTTAAAATGGTACTGTGTCTAAAATCTGCTTTGAAATACTCTAGTTAAGATGGGGCTATAGATGCAAAAAAAAAAAAAAAGGTAACTGCTGAGGGTAGGAAATGGGTACCTGGGATTTCATTATGCTATCTTTTATATCACTGTACAGTTTTGGAATTTTTAATGAGCAATTTATCTTACCACTTGGTAGTCGAAGAGATGACCATATATCCTGAGCTCCCCAGTCTGGTGTGAGGGGAGGACAGCTGATAACTGGATATGCAGTGTTACCAGACAACACTGGGCCCAAACCATTGCTTCTGCCTGCCACTGCCACAAATACAGTAGGAATGCCATCCCCTACGGATATTATGAAATTATAATTACATTAAGATTTAAAGATTGGCTTAAGGAAAAAACCCTCAATGTCTTAAATCCTTGAGCAGTCCTCTCTGGAAAAAATATTAAGACAAATTGTTATTACACATATATTCAAAACATAAAATTCATTATGCCTTATTATCTTTAGCTAGCTAAAATAGTTTTGGCTATCTGTGAGGTCTATAGTATAAAGGGCATGCCAGTGGGTTAGTGAGGAAATGGCTCACAGGCCCCTCTATTATTGCTGCTTAGGCTGGTCAAAATGAAGAATAACACCAACTGAACATGTATCTTTTTCTCCTGAGTAGTCCTTCAAAAAATAGGGTATAGGAAGACTCATTTAAATAGCGAGTAGTGGTTTAGGTCACTTCATGACAGAAGCAAGTTTAACTCTGTAAATTATTCCTTTGCTTCCTAAAGCAGAGATTTGTAACCTAGAATCTAAAATTTCAGTTTTTTTTCTTTTGAGATAGGATCTATTATATAGCCTAGGCTTGCCCAGAACTCAAGATCCTCCTGCTTCAGACTTCAGAGCCCTGGGATTTCAGGTATGTGCCACCAAGCCTGGCTTAAATTTCCTGTACTTTATTTTTGGAGAAAGAATTCTAGCATTCATTAGTTTATTAAAAGGGCCTGAAATCCTACTACCTCACCTCCAAATTAGTAGTTACTTTCCCAAAGCATTATCTTTAGAGAAAATAGTCAATCATCATTTTTTTTTTTTCAGTTGAAAAATACTTGGCTGTAAACCCAGGACTCCCATATTTTAAATTAATGTTATTCTATAATTTCTTTTACATATTATGTACTCTAACTGCCTTATTCCACATTTGACTGTCTCCCAAGAAAGGCTGGCCATTAAAGATACTAGAGGATTTGCTGCTTCAGCCTTGGGCGTCCTGTAGCTGACAGGAGCTTTTTTAAGCAATGCTGAAAGGGCGGGGGGTGCTTTTAGGCCCCTCACGATTCTAGTCTGTCTTCCTTCCATACTTTGCACTTTCAGTTCATTTCCCTTGCTTCTTTCTTTTATAAGCTCTTAAACTATCTTGTAGTCATTGGAGGAGAGAAACATGCTTTTCCATTGAAAATAGGGAAAAATCCCTTTTTTGGCAATATTAGTCTAAAAGATATAATCTTTTGTCAAAATCAAAATTACCTGACAGAAATACTTTAGATACTCTAGTTATTCGAAGTTTACCTTCATACTCTGCTTTAATCCTCAGAGTTTCATCTGGTCCTTTATGGGCAGATGTTACCCGAAGTTCACATGGAATTCCAAAATTTCCACAAGCTTTCTTGATTTTTTCACAGTGACCAAGATCAGAAGTTGAGCCCATCAATACTACAACTCTGCATGGACTTTCTGATTTCAGAAGCAACTAGAAAAGAAAACCACGGGCATGAAAAGAAACCAAAGATACAAATGGATAAACATAGGAACGAATACCACAGCAATTCTTAATTTAAAGACCATAGTTTAAAAGTAAAATTATATCTGGACCAAATATTTTCTTTAAGACAGACAAACAGAACAAAATGAAAGAGGATTTAACAAAGAGACTCTGTACGTATAAAAGAAAAGTGGTTTTTATAACTAAGACCTAATGGAAAAGGCTTTTTCTTTCTCTTTTTCCAGACAGGGTCTCACTGTGTGTCCCAGGGTGATCCTCCTACCTCAACGTCCTGAGTGCTAGGGGTTACAGGAGAATACCACCACCTACAAGTACAGGTAAGAATCACGTTTACTATATAATAAAAGGGTAATTAATATTCAGTAAGTTGTAACAAAATATTTCATCTTAAGGGTCCTAGTACATTGTTTAATGAATGTTTTAAGACGTAATCAGCCAAATTAAAGGTTCTGTTACAAATCTGTAAATTGGCTACTTGGAAGTCCGTGGAAATATTCTTAAAAGGTGATACTCTGGGGTAAACACAAATCCCATTGAATGTTCATGGAATTATAGTTAACTATAAAACTATAAAAATGAAAGTGACATTTTAAACTTAAATGAAAGGGTTTGGGAACAAGGTCTTGGGTTAAAAAAAAAAAAAAAGTTTGCATGGACTCTATCCATACCATGCTACTATAATTTCACTGGAAAGGTAGGGAAGAGACAAGATCTATTTCCCCACAGGATGTGGGATGAATGTTCTCATCAACTGAACATCACGGAGTTCCAGTATAAGACAGACAGTCCAGCTGGAACATTTCCTGAAAGTTGTTCCTCTCTTTCAGAGTCACTGAAAAAAGGCAGCACCATACCTCCTTCATTTTACTTTGAAACAAGGTTTTGTTTGTTTTTTAAAACAATGTCTTGCTTACTATATGTTGACTAAGGAGGCCTCAAACTTTTGACCTTCCTGCCTCACCTTCCTTCCCAAGTAGCTGGGGTTATAGCAGTGCACCACTGTGCCCATCTTGAAACAAGATTCTCTCAGAAGAAAATATATGACTCAGCATAGGTTCACTATAGAAAGATTACCTCTACTCTCTCTGCAACCCACTCAAAGTTTTTCTTTACCATCTGGAGCCCTTCAGGAGTTACTTCTTTGAGGTCACGGTAAGACTAGAAAATAAAACAAAAGTTTAGTAAGTAAGTATCTCTTGCTAACTGAAAGTATTTGCTTTCTGAATTTTAAGTAGGTATGATAAGTTTGTACAGCAAGAGACACACCTAAAAACATATCTCCATCTACATATTGATTTCTCAGTCAAACTGAAGTTCACTAATGAAGTAAAGTAATACTTTCATTCAAGTGCCTTTTTTGGTGTTTGCCTGGTGCTTTCGAGGCAGGCAATTTACCACTTGAGCCACACCCCCAGCCCAGAGCCTTGGTTTTCCACTAGCCAAACAAGAATAATATTTGCTGTTACTGTTTTGAGAGTCTATGAAGACAATAAATTAAAAAACTGCTTTATAAGTTTATCATGATATATGAAATATTTACCTTTAAAAGTAAATAATAGCAATCAACAAACCAGATTCACCCCATGAATAATCACTGCCCTTTCTTTTCCTGTCATCTTTCCTTTCTCCTATATTCTAGCCTGATCCTGCAAAGGATAAAAACCTTGAGGGGTTACTTACCTGTTTGTCCTTCTGCTGGCTCCGATCGCCTGATGGCCACAGTCTCCAGGAATCATTATCAATAACATCAGCAAGAACAATTTCTTTGGTGGTTACATCAACACCAAATTCAATCTAGAAACAGCATATCAGGAAAAGTTAAAAGAATGATGCTACTAAACACATTCCTCAGCCATACTCTTTAGTTTCAAATCTGTTTTATCTATACCTTCATATCAACCAGTGTACAGTTCTGGGGCAACCAGGATCTTTCCAGTATTTCAAAAATAGCTTGTGTAGCATGACTCATGATATCTACTTCAGTTTGGCCTATGACAAGTCCAGCAAAGCAAAATTTTGCAGCAATCAGTTGTTCTTCAGACCACTGTGGGTCATTATTGGCATCATCCTGAAAATAAAATATCACAATTTAAATCTAAAAATTTCAACTTCTTAGGAAAACTAAAGGCTCTTTTCTCCTTCAGAAATACCATTTTCTCAAAAAAATTTTTTGTCCCTATATTATGTAATTCAAAAGTAATTATTTTTGGTTACTTTAACAGCTACTTTAAAATTCAAAGTATTTGAGTTATAAAGTATTCAAAGTATTTTAGGTTATAAAGTATTTAAAAGAAATCATCTTTTCTCTATAAAACAATTCAAATACAATTGAAGTTTGTAATTTTTATTTCTCCTCAATAAGTCACTAGACAGAATAGGAAGACCAAAACATTTGGCCAACCAAATCTTTCTAAAATTCAGATTTTATAACCTCCTGGCTTAATTTTTGATAAGAACTTTTCACAACCATTGATTCTTATATCTTAATTGTATGTATTTCTGCTTAGAAGAGACATTGATAGTACATTTGCCAGTATTAGAATATCGAAAGACATTATCTATAAACATTTATTTATATGGGGTCTCACACTATGTAACCCAGGCTGGTCTCCACCTCCTCAGTACCGATAGGCTTGTGCCACCACAGACGGCTGTAGTGGTTTTTTTGTTTGTTTTTTTTTCATTTTAAATTACATGTTACCTTTCTTTCTAAATGTTACCTTTTCCCCTACTATTAAATTTGTTCATTTTGTTAATCAACCTGGTCCAAAGGTAACCACATTTTCAGATAATCTTCTTTCAAAAATCCTGTCATTGCTAATGGAAGTGTGCCTGACATAAATTTCTAGAATGACATTTGTAGTATCAAAAGCTTCAGCAATGTTTAGGCCTTTAGAGCTTGCAATGAAAGTTTGCTTCTAGATTATGGCATATGCAAAACCATAAAATACTTACCTTGAAAAACATTTCCACTTTGGGTGGGTAAAACTTATATCCTTCCTTGACACCGGGGTTTCTTTTGAGGAAAGAACCAGTTGCTATTCTTCTGCAAACCCATTCAATTGGAATCATTTCACACTGCGGTGCAATGAAAGCTGTCTCTCCATATTTTCCGCTGAAAGCAGTTTTGATACCTACATATTGATGGGAAAAGTTTAGGGAAAAAAGTGCACTGAAATTTTTTTTTTAATGAGGGTAGATCTAAGAACAATGGAAATCCACTCTTTACAAGAAACAAATCTCTGTCAAAAATGAAATATTAATATTCAGGAATCTTTTGTTTTTTTTTTGAAACAAGGACCTGGTATGTAGCCCAGGTTGGTACTGAATTCAAGATCCTCCTCCCTCAGTGTCTTAAATGCTGGGCATATAGCCATGTTCAGGAAGGAATTACTTCATTTTAATGTTACATGGCAAAATACATAGTGGGTTATCAGAGCTAGGTTCTGGAATGTATCCAATTTACCCACTCATTCAACAATATTTAGTATCTCTTTTGGCAGTGGGTAGCTAACTTTGCACATAAATTATTTGCATGGCACTAAAATACCTCTAAATCTGACTTGATTATAGAATTCTCGTATTCTACAGTTCATTATTATACGGACATATCAGATTAGTCTAGTGACTTATCATAATCAGAAACAGCCCTAAATTCCAAGTAGCCTGTTTCTTTTAATGTTTAATCCCTGAAACATTACCTATCAGGAAGCAGCAGAGATACAGCAGCTATTTTGGACGAGAGAAAAGAAAATGTGCCCTTCCACTCCCTCTCCTTAGACTGTTATTGAAAAAGATGGAGAACTGACTTGTGATGTTTGGGTTGGAAACTATTGAATGTGATGGCCCAGAAAAATCCATCTGTTTGTACTCTAAAGAACTGAAAGCAGATACCTAAACAGGCACCTGTATATCAATGTTCCCAGCAGCATTATTTACAACAGACAAATGGGGTACAACACAAACATTTCATCAACAGATGAATATATGTAGTGTATATATACAATGTGTTATCCAGCCATGAAAAGGAATCAGATTCCCCATACAATCATGTTATGATATGGATAAACCTTGAAAACACTATTTTATGTGAAATAAATTAGAAACTAAAGGACAAGTCCTTGTGACTCTGCTTATACATAAGGTAACTAGAGCAGGCAAATTCAGAAACAGAAAATTGCCAGTGAATTGAAGACTTAAAAAATGGTTAAAGTGGTTAATTTTACATATGCCTACCATAATTTAAATATCAAGAACCTACTTCAAGGCAATTATTCAAAGCATTGTAAATGTATATTTTAACCTTCATAACATTGAATAAAGCAGATAATATATGTATCATTCAACAGAATAAGGACACTGAGAACACAGTGATAATCTCTATGAATACTAGGCAAAGCTGGATTTCTAGCTATGCTGCCTCTGGGGTATTACTGCATCACAGCACAAAGTAATGCTCTTGTGTTAATGTTAAATTAAAATATCTCCTGCAAACCTACATGGATTTGACACAATGCTCATTCATTGTCAGCCTGAAACATTACTACCTCTAATGCCAATTTAGTCCTTTATCCCAAGAGCAATCTTTTTTTTTCTTTTTAAAATCACGAAAGAACTAGGGATCTGTGATCATATATGTGTATGTATAGGTACATACATATACACGTATACATGTATGTATGTGTATATATATATCCATATGTGAAGGGAACCTGTACTTATAGAAACTACACTGTGCTCATGCTCTTATTTTATATATGTCATCTCATTAAATCAGAAAAAATTTTTGAGGTAGCTTCTGCTTACATTTTACACTGAAAGAAGCAGAGGTTCAAAGAAGTCATTTTACATGCTAGGTCACAATGTCAATCAGCCACAGAGCCTGGATTTGAAATGCACTGAATAGTTCCAAAACTTGTATTATTTTCTCTGCATTCCTTTTGGGTCTGACTAGAAATATTCATCTGAGATGGGAAAAAAATAATTGTTCCTGTACAGGAACCCTAGGAGTGAAAAATCTTCATTTTAACCTTTAATAAATGACCAGGCTCATAGTCAGTCAGGTGGCATAAGTCAATCCTTATCTTAGGAGCAGAAACTACATGCTTTAAGAACTCTCTTAAGTCTGTTAATTGTTGGTCTTTTGCTCATTTGCTTGACACACAGGTATCCAATTCTATCATTTTAAAAAAATTATAACGAACATTTATTTACAAAGATGTTCTACCCAATTATTTGTAATACTGAAAAAACGAAACAGTAAAAATGTCCAACAATAAAAGATGAATGAAAATAAATGACGTTGTACACTCATTCAAAATGGTAATTGAAAGAACAGTTAAAGACACTGAAAATGCCAAAAATATAGTATTAAGTGGGAAAAATGATATAAAACTATAATATAAAAATTTTTTGCTGGGCACTCAATTCTATCATTTAAGCATAAACAAGTTACTTTTACTGATAGGAAAACCCACCCCCATTTAGAACCAAAAGCACATAAATAACTTATGGTAATTAATGATCTCCATACAGGGGGAAAAAAAACTCTCAAAAAACAATACAAACAAAACAAAAGCAAATCATTAAACTAAACTCCATGAATGCATGAGAAGAGTTCCCCCCATTTGTAGTAGTTGTCTACAAAACTCAAACTTGCCACCAGTTATTTAAAAATGAGTTGTCAAATAATGTACTGCAAACTAGGACCATGCATGATAGCAAATGAACTCACAATGCCATCCTCTCTTAAAGCTGTCCAGATCTCCTAGACCAAATTTTTATCCTAATTACATGTAATTATGGTGAGTTTCTGTAAAAGAATCATCACAAAGATTAGATTTTCTTGTTCATTTTTGGAGACAGTCTCACTATGTAGCCCAGGCTGGCCTCGAACCCAAGATATTCCTGCTTCAGTCCCTTCAGTGCTGGGATTACATGCTTGTAACACAATGCCTAAATAGATTTTGATTTTTAAGTAATGAGCCCAAATCCATAAACTTCATAACTTAGAGAAAGCATGTGACAATACTATTTCCATGGAAAAATAATATTACTACTTGTATAGTACTTTAGAGTTTGCTCATGAGTGACAATGAGGAAACCAGAATCTTGATTTTTCTGATTCTCATTCTAGTGCTATCCCATTCTAATTTCTACAAATACCTCAATTTGGAACATAATCCTGGCTATATAGAATGAAGTTTTAGAAAGACTCAGGCCCATAAACCATATGCTAGGGGTCAGTTGGATATGGCACTCATTTATACACTGAAATTCTGTAAACCTCCACTAGCCTCATGACATGTAACCAGTGTTGCTTATCTGTGACCTCTGCCTTGTGGCCTGGTTCTGGGGAGGGACTTGCTGCTCTAATGAAAACCTGTGGTGGGGTAAAAACAATTGTCACTCCCTAGAGATGACCTGCTTGCAGTCTATTGAAAATGTACTAGTTTCCTAACAAACCTCATAACTAAAAAAAAAAGTTTTAGACCACTAGTGGCTACCTAGATATATCACTTAACTATTAACAAGTGAAGACTACACAAGGCTTGATGGAACTCCTAACCTGCCCACTAAACTAATCTGAGAACTTTTGAAGATTTAGGTTCTCCTTAAATTTCACAGTAGTGTGTTGCTATGGTTTGAATATGACCTGAGTTTCCTCCAGTGGTTCACGTGTGGGCAGTTTGTGGGGAGGAAGCAGAACCTTGAAGTGGTAGAGCTTAGTGCAAGGTACTTAAGGTTCTATGGAACACTTCTGGCTCACCACAGTAACTTTTAATAAAAGAGCAAGACTGGACCTTACTTACTCTTGTCTCACCATTTGATCACTCCCTTTTGTAAGAGTTCCTACCATGAAGACTTCATTAGAGGTTGAATAGCTGAGGCCTCCCAATCTTGGGCTTTTACACAGCCTCAGCTGTTTTGTTATAGCAATGGATAATGGGCTAAGATAGATGTATAAAATCTGGAAAACACCTTTCAACATTTCCTATGAACGAATTATGTTTCAGCTATGTTAAGTAAGGCAAATAAGTAGTTTGAACTAATAGTGTCTTACCAAGTAAGCAAATAAAAACCTGGGCCTACAATTATCTTTTATTACTTAAAAGTATGTATATATCTATGCCTATATATAAAAACACCCATGGATAGTGCTGCAGGCTGGTAATCCTAGCTACTCAGAGGGCAGAGGCAGGAGGAATTAGAAATCAGTCTCGCCAATAATCCTAGCTACTTGGGAGGATTGCCATTGGATGCTAGCCCAACCAAATAGTTCTCCAGACCCCATCTCCAAAATAACCAGAGCAAAATGGACTGGAGGTATGGCTCAGTGAAGCCTTGAGTTCAAGCCAGCCCCGACAAAGGTAGCCATGAGACCATGTCTCAAAAATAAAGAAAAATGAAAGGGCAAAGGGGATAGCTCAACTGGTAAAGCACTTGCTTAGCATACACAAAACCCTGAGAAAAAGAAAAACACTGTGCATATATGTATGTGATATGTATGCACATATGTACATATATTTTTGCATATATAGAATGTAACAAAAATAATCTCAGTTATGTGCAATTCTCTAAATGGTTAAATACCTTTCATTTTTTTTTTTAATGTGGATGGGGAGAGGAAGATAACTTGGAGGTAAAAAAATAGATCAGACTCTTAATCTGTATTGGAAAAGAAACCTAAATTTAGTTTGATGCTCTCTCTAGAAATGTACTCATTCGGTAGGAAACCACCAACCAAGGAAACCTTGAAAGAAAAATCCCAGATCCTATGACTTAGGAACTGAATATAGCAATATACCCATTTTCGATGCATAGAGGGATTTATGATATAATAACAATTCAGGTTTACAACTAGTTATGACCAAGTTAAAATGTGAAACTTTAAAAGAGGCAAATGGCTTCAGAAATGTAGAATGGATTTAACTTGAATTATATTGTTATTTTGTAAAAGGTATGTACATCTCTCTTAACTAGAAACAAATGTATTAAATCCCCTTGGATTTAACAAAGATTAGTACATTTTGGAAACTAAGTAATGAAAGGTCAACCAGGTACATCTGAAGAACAGAAAAGATATTAAATTATAAAACTGGAACTGGCAGGGAAAAAAAAAGCACAAAACTCTATTTTAGAGAAGGAATACAAAGCTCCAAAGACTGACGCAAGCAAGGCAATGATGCCTTTGATGCTGTGTGGGAGAGAGCTCAAATTTCTTATTAGCTCACACAATAGCACCTGGCTGACTGCCTGCAGGAAAAATTTATACTAACTCCCCTTTCTCCTCTCTAAATACTTCTACACAATGTTCTGATCTGAATTTTCTTTTTGATGATACTGGGGTTTGAACACAGGGTTTCTTGCTTGCTAAGCAGGCACTCTACTGTTTTAAGCTATGCCTCTAGCCCTTAATTTTGTCTTTTGACTTCACTTTTCTATTGGGAATAGTGTCTTCCTTGAGTTTTTAAGTAGGAGGGAACTCTGGAGTTCTTTGGTCAATTCAATTTCCTCACTGAGAAATGAGAAGGTACAGTTGCTGGCTTCAAGTGGAAGAGGGGTTTAAAATTCTGCATTGTCTTCCAACAAGCAGAACAAAGGACAATTGTATACTGTTTCTGGGGGTAAATTTCAGTTCATTAATTAGAGCTGCTCAACACTATGGTAGCTTCCTTCATAATTAGTCCTTTAAGACTAAAGACGGCCTTGGAGATGGAACTTGCATAGTGCGTCTGATAAAAGATTGTAGCACTGTAAGGGAGAAGGGCAAAGAGGCTGTGAGGCAGTCACTTACCTGCCTTCTGTAACACTCAAAAAATGTAACTGATGAGTAGCATGTTGTTGATCCTAATGTCATTAACCCATGAAAAGGATCAATATGAGAGGGACATACACATACACAGAAAAAGATACAGAGACAAACAGAGAGGAGATGGGGAACCACTTACCTGCTTCCTGTAACAACTGAAAAATACAGCTGGTAATTTTATTGGAGATTGCAGCCTTTCCTTCCAGGTGATTCTTTCTAGCTGCATTTCCTGCTGTAATCTGGTCCTTGGATTGCAGGAGAACTTTTCCTGGATTACCTAACAATTCATAGACTTCTTTTGTTTTACCCTCATAAAGTTTTCTGCCAATGTTCAGTACTGTGAAAATAAAATAGAATTATATGAGATTTCAGGAAGAAGTTTCCTGAATACTAAAGAGGAAGTCATCTATAATGATGAATCAGAACATTTAGAGTGAATAAGTAGTAATTTAAAAAAAATTCAGTCATCTGCATAGAACCTCATTCTTCATGGTACTTTCCCATGTATCATCACATAGTTTTGTTAAGTTTAATTATGTAATAATTATAGATTAGGAAACTAAGACTTAAAAAAGGTTGAAGTCTTGCATTTAGTACATGCAAATCAAAACAAAATTCTAAGCCTTCTGGTATTGAGCTCTGAGTTCCTTCTACTATCAATCTGTCTCTGAACTGAAGAAGAGTTTAAGATTAATATACTGATTTTTTTTTTTTTTGAGTAGAATTAGGGTTTGAGTTTAGGGCTTTGCACATGCAGAGCAGGTGCTATACCCTTTGAGCCACATCTCCAGTCTCATACTACCATTTTATATATAGCCATAATAAATTATTTAAAGTAGCTTGTAGGGAAAACAAACAAAACACAAACCAGAACTGTATTTTGCCAGACTTTTGATTTTCATGGCATACAAAATGGGAAAGTTCAGACAGACTGTTTCTTGATTTCAAGTTAAATATTAAGAGGAGGCTCCTCCCCTCCATTCACTTGTTTTTGGTGTTACTGGGGATTGAACTTGAGCCACTCTGCCAGCCCTTCTTGCATTGGTGTTTTTGAGACAGGGTATCGCTTTATGCCTGGTCTGTGATCCTCCTACTTGTGCTTTCCTGTATAGCTGGGGTGACAGGTGCAGGCCACTGAACCCAGCCATTGTCTGAGAAGGCATCTCATGAACTTTTTGTCATAGCTGTTCTTGAACTGTAATCCTATTGACCTCTGCCTCTAGAGGAGCTAGGATCACAGGCTTGAGCCACTGCCTAGCCTCCATTCACTTAAGTTAGCCCAGCTGGAAGAATTCTTCTCTATTTCTTTCTTTATTACAGTTTCTCTTTATTAACAGCTATGAGGAAGGGAACACAAAGGTACACAATTCTGATTCTGGTAACAAGACCTAAAAGCTTTAAGTAGATCCTGGTCATCAGAAAGAATGATTTACATGAAGATCAAAGGTAAAAGAAGTTTAACTTAAAACTTCTTAAGAGGGAGAAATCACCCCTCCCCCCATGCTACTAGAACACAGATCAATCAGTATTTTTCCAATGTGCCATGTACTGTGCATAAATTAGTAAAGGAGATAAGTTCCTGTTCTCAAGGGATCTCAGTATGAGGGAAACTGATATTAAACAACCAAAAACTATAATACAATAAAGACTACAGACCCTGTATTCAGTCACAGCAGTGCCACCTAGTCTAGACATCAGAGAAGGAAGTCTAGAACAAAGTAAAAATTAGGCTGAGATCTGAAAAACAATCAAAATGTAACAAGAAGGGGTAGTCAGTGGTGCTAAAACTAGATGGTCAAAGAGTATACAGCAAAACTTCAGTATGGTTGGAGCATTTAGTGCTCTAGTTATATGTTCACTGAAACTGGATGGGGGGAAGGGTGAGGAAAGCTGCTTAGCAGTAGAAAGGAAGTGGTAGAAGAGCTGGGTGCATGTGTGGAATCACATCACCAGTTCGTGGAGGTAACCATTAAACAAATTAGTGTCAAGGAAGAAAATCGCATGGAGTAACACTGGTTCAGGGCACCCAAAATGGAGCCTGAAGGCCATTCACTGAACAGGGTTTCAGATGTGTCCACATGCATGTCCACCTTGTGCACTGACCTTTAGACTGGACCAAACCAGTTTCCTGAAGCATTTCTTGGTAACTTTTGCTGACTTTCTATTCAAGGACACCTTCCCCCAAATCACACCCAAGTGGCCTGAGACTATAACCCAAATCCTATCTTAAAAGACAGCTTAGCTTTTGGCAGTGTCAACCATATTCCCGACTATAAGTGATGTAATTATCAATCATTCTTGTGGTTTAAAGCTATAAATGCAGCCACCATTTTATAAAAACCCAAAACACAATTCAAGGCTGTGCCTCCCAAATTGGGAGTCCTAATTAACCCTAAATAAATGTATTTTTTTCCTCAATCAGGCTAACCTTTGTTCTTGGTTGACACAGCTGTAATTGAGTGTAAAAGCTGCCCCTCAGGGTGCCTAATTTAGAGGATGAATCCCTAATGTAATGTCTAGAAGCATTAACAAGGATTTAAAGCCCTTCAGGTTACAGCCTCAGTTTAGTGCTCCAAACTCCTATTTCTCTATTCCCTTCTAAGAACTCCAAGTTCCTTAACTTAATTTTTATATCCCCTTCCCAGGCCTTTTGACAATCTCTTTTGTAGGCCTAACACACTGTTCCCTTCCACCCATTTTGCTACTTATCCTTCAGGTCTCATAAGCCATGCCATGCTGATTGAGTTTACACTTCAACCTAGGAACCATGATCTGTAAAATGACAGATTTGTACTTTAGAAAGCTCAGTATGGCTGCTGTATGGAGAATGAAGTGCAGAAGTGGCAAGTGAACAAGAAAAAGGAGTCTGGGAGAAGAGTTTAGGATGCTGTTCAAGCAACCAAGGCAGGTAATGTGCTGGGTCTAAGGGAACAGCAGGGGGCAAAGAGTTAAAATATTTAAAAGATAGAAGAACAATTGATTTCATTAGGGAGGATAAAAGAGAGGTAAGAGTTAACAGTAGTGCCCAGATTAAAGGAATGAAGAAGAAGTTTGAACCTACTGCCCCAATTTAGTTAAGTCTGCTTTTATTACCTAGTCATTACAAAGGGTAGGAATTTTAGTTAAAAAGTAGGAATAATGTAAGTAACAACTGTAGGAAGCATATGCTACAAGTGTAAATATAACTGCTGTTATTTTCACAGATGAATTCAGTGGAGACTGATGAAGACTGAGAGTGGTTCACAGAGTTGAAATTTAGGTCTTGGAGGAGAGTCAAGAACATTCAGGTCTGTACAGTCCAATAGGTAGCCACTAGCCACATGGCTATGCATACACAGTGCATGGTTCAAGTGGTAAGAGTGCCTGCCTAGCAAACATGAGGCCCTGAATTCTAATCCCAGTTACCACCAAAAAAAGAATGCAAATGATCTCAAAATTTTATATTGATTACATGTTGAAATGCCAATACCTTGGATACATTGGGTTAAATATAATCTATTAAAACTTGCTTCACCAAGGTTTTGGTTCCATTTGTTTTTATTTTTTCAAATATGGCTAACAAAACACATCTGTGGTTCATATTACATTTCTGTTGTCCAGCACTGTTCCAAGAAAAACAGCATAAATAAACCATGTGCAACAAAAAGAAAACTTTGGCAAATCACGCAGACTAGAGCATAGGCTAAGGAGTCACAATGGAGAAAAATCAAATTAAGGGCTGAAGAGTTAGGATGGAGTACACAGGATTTAAGGGAAAGGAACATCGGACTGGATTTTAATAATTCCAGCGATACCACGGAACACTTCTGAGCAAAGACATTTTGAAACTTTTAGAAACCACAAAAGAGACATTTTAGAAAAATTTACCTGCCAATGGAAAATAAGATGTAACTGAAAAGATTTTACGGTTTTTACCAGCCTGGAGGTACTGGCACAGAGCTATAATTTATGGGCTTGTTAATATCACTGTAACCCTGCATTTGCAATGTTTTGCAATGTTTTGCAAATGCAGGGTCTCTCCCTATGTGGCAAATAATTGTTCTGAGCAGCCATCACAAGCAATTTGATCCACTATAAATTTAGAAACTAGGGTGTGGATCAAACCAACATTTTATCAGCAAAATGGTATGAAAGAGCTATCCCGAGCATCTGACCATTCAAGGACAAAATAAGCATGTAACTACGTAAATTTCACAAAACGAAAAGTGAACAAGGAAACTTTTTTGTTTGCGGGTTTCGGCGCTCTCTCTACAGTCATCATGGCACCAAAGCCTACTTTCAACGCTAGAGTTTCACGTAATTACTTTGCAACATCTATCTACTCCCAAGATTGCAGGCTCTTGTCCAGTGTCTGGCCGTTTCTCGGTCTACGTGCAGTCTTACTCTATTGTTTTTTTCTCCCACCCCCGGCGCACGGAACTTTTAGGAGGCCCCAGAGGCCCGGGCGCCTGGTGTCCACGTGCGCGCCCACCCCGGGGCCTAGATGCTCGACAGCGGGAAGGCCCAGTACCGTCCCCGGATGGCCGCACTCGGGGCTCGCAAGCCCACGGCCGGAGCGGGGAGAGATCCAAACGGGCCCGGATTCCCGTTACTCAGTGACTCACCCTCGCGGCCGCCATTGTCCCAACCGGGCTGGGGTCAAGGACCGCGCTGAAACAGAAGCTGGAATTTGGGAAAGGAGAGCGGTCAGAGAAGCGTTTGTTCGCAGACACGCCCCCTGGGCCCGGCCGCGAAGCCCCGCGCGGCCCCGAGGAGCTCAGGGACCGCGACAGCAAGCGGAGGTTCTCCGCGGACAGCGTCGTGGGAGGGACTGCTTCCACGACTTCCCGCCACGCAGGCGCAGAGACGCGACCCCGCCTCCGGGCCGCCCCTGCGAGGCTTCGTTCCGAAGGCGAAAAGTGGCGCGGATTCGGCTGCCCCTCCCCACTCTGCAGAGCTCACGGACGGGGCCCTTCTAGTCAGCGCGCGCCCCGTAGAGCGTACCAAGTCCTGGAGGCAGGGGGAGCCATGTGGGGAGGGGCATGTAAAATTCAAGTCCTTTGAGAGAAAATGGCATTAATCCCGTTACTTTCATCACCCGAGTTTGGGAAGTTAGAAAATAACGGCAGTATGCACGTGCTGGGAAGCGAGCGGCGAGGGGCGTCTCCCGGGGAGGACTGGCTCCACCCTCGTGGAGTCTGCGAGGTTCATTGGTGGTCCCCGGGAGGAGGCGAGGGGGTGGGGGGAGAGGGTAGCGCGCGCCGCCGCAGTAGCCAGGCCCGAGCCTCTGGGAAGGAAGCGGGTTTGGGAGCGCGAGCGTCTGAGGCGTTCTGGGCCGACCCGGCAGCTGGTTGGTGCTTGGACCTCGCTGCGGGTGCAGGTCCCTCCACGTGCTTTCGGCCCCGCCATGGAGCTGGAGGAATCGGGGGTTCGCGAGGAGTGTGGCGTGTTCGGGTGCATCGCTTCTGGAGAGTGGCCCACGCAGCTAGATGTGCCGCATGTGATCACTCTGGGGCTCGTGGGGCTGCAGCACCGGTGAGCAACAGGGCGCGGGGTGGGGGTGGGGTTAGCGGGGCAGCGCTTCTGCTCGAGCTCTCTGCGAGCCCGTGAGCGCCCGAGCACCCGGACGACGCACCTTCCCTACCCGCGTAAGCCAGATTGCCAAGGGGTGCAGGGACACCTGCGCCAGTCCCGCCCACTCTCCCACTCCACTGCCCTTTAAAGGGCCCCCTTCCCTCCGCGTCTGAGCACCTCTCCCGAGTCAGTTAGGCTCGGGTTTGCTTGGACTAGCTAGGTCGGGGAGGAGCCGGTTCGAACCTCCCCGACACTGCAGCTGGGGTTGGGATAAAAACTCGTGCAGGGTGGCGGCTGGTGCAGCTCCGACAACACTTGAGGGTTCCACGCGGGGCATCCAGCCTGCGCAGGCTTTGTTTGCAGAGTTATCTCTTGGGCAGCTTGTGAGCTCTAAAGTAGTTATAGCTATGGAACTTGAGGATCTTAGAGTAACGGGACTAGTTAGTGGCGTTACTTGGTGTGCAAAAGGAGTCCCGGTAATAGATTTCATAGACATTAGCTGAAAATAAACCAATCACAGGGAGCAGATTGATTAGTAAAACGATTTAGATAATGAATGAAAACGTTGGTAGTGAATTGCCAAAAATTAACTCCCTTTTAAAAGGAGGCGAGAGGAGTAGTGTTGGCATGTCAAGATACAGATTTGGAAAAATTGGGGTATTCTTTGGAGAAAAAAAAAAATAAGACCAAAAACACCTTGACTTCCAAGATGTTTACATTTCTTACTACCTGACCTAACTGAAAATTGATATACATAAATCTTTTTCTGGTAAGAAATACAAACCAAGGTTCGACTTTGTCGCTGAAGTATTGTCAAGTGTCCATAAGGCAATCAAACAGCAACAACTTTAGAACAGCTAAGTAACTGGCCAGTAACACTTATCACAATACGTGTAAATGCATTCCCAATGACTAGCTTTTCCACAGGCTTTTTTCAGAGTGTCACATTTTGTGTACTCCTTTAACTGAAGAGCAGAATCTGGGATAAATTAAAAGTATTTTCAATTTGAATCACTCTAATCTTGGATAATTGTGGGTTGAAGATAATAGATTTCTCATTAAAAAAAAAACCATTTAATTAGGGGATTAGATATACAATCCAAGGAGACTATGTGGATGTTCTGAGAAACATAAGTTTATAATACTTTTAGAAGTAATTTTGAATATTCCATTGAGGGAAGTGGAGATGGATGTGGAGACTTTTAGAGTTAGCTAGTGATCTGTGGAAAATAGATGGACTGATCTTAATTCTTTTTCTTGACTGTATTTACTTTTTAGCAAAACTACTCAGAAAGTTCTTTGCATTTCCACCTTTCATCCCTTTTAAACAAGTCTTGGTTAGGAGACTGATGTTGAAAATTGACCTTTTGGTATTTTGTTTTATTTGCGAAGACAATGTCAAGAAACTCAGTTTCTGGAGGGGGCAAACGTATTGGAAATGATTGAAGAAGAGGGGCTGGTTCTCACCCCAAATCTTATCCAAGTCAACTTTTTTTTTCTGGGGTGGGACTGGGGTTTGAACTCAGGACTTTGCATTTGCAAAGCAGGTGTTCTACCCCTTAACCACACCTCCAGTCCATTTTTGCTCTGGTTATTTTGGAGATTGGGCTGGCTTTGAACCATGATCCTTTTGATCTCAGCCTCCCAAGTAGCTAGGATTACAGGTGTCAGCCACTGGCGCCCAGCTCCAATTCAAATTTTTAAATGAGCAAAAGTCCTCAGCCTTTGGGAGAACTGATTTTAAACAGAAAATCAGCAAAACTCCTTTATGTCTAGAAGAAGTAATAATTGTTTGTTGCTCTAAAACAAGAAAGATTAAGAAATAATTTTAGGGAGGAGGTTCTGGTGATTCAGCCAGGGCCTAGATCCTGCTAAGCAAGTGCTCCATCACTGCTGCATCCCCAGCCCTGAGAGCTAATGTATTTATATGACCTTGAACAAAGGAATGTGAAACTTGAAGCCTAGATAGGCTATCATAGCTTAGTATACCATGGAAGTAGTTTTATACACTGTATCCTGACAAGTGATCATTTGTTGGGAGAGGCTCCATTTTTACTTTCTCACCCCCATTCACTCAGTGGTTAGTTAAAAACGGTTTGATTGGGTTCATCTCCCCTTCTCTCCCCTCCTCTTCTTTTGCAGTGCTGCAGATGGAATCCTTGCACAAACTAGGCAGTCTTCAGCCCAGTTTTTTCTTTTTTTTGTGAAGGAATTTATCTCTTGCACATTATTTTCTTAACACATGGAATCTTTTTAGATGAAGAGAATTCTTTCACTTCTGCATACCTGAAAGTTACGTTTCATGTAAAAACAAATGGATTTAGTAAACTGCCATGCTGGGTACTTAACCCACATGGATTAATTCTGGCCTTTTGCAGCTTTAATTCACAGCTCTGCTTTCTGTCAGGGGGAGCTAGCTGTCCTCTTAGCTGTAAACTACATGTGTACGTGCAGGTATGCTCACGCCAGATTCATAAAATCACCAAACGCTGTCTGGTCCCGAAAACATCCCTTTTGTTAATTTTCAGAGTTCTGAACAAACCAGACATCTTTGGTAGATGAAACAGTTTCATCTTTAAACCATAGATAGTCACATCATATGGAGAAGAAAATGGCCTGGACAAGATTTCTTAAGAGGAATTACTCATGTTTCGTAGACTTACCCCATGAATCAGCTGAGTTTAGTCCTCCCACCCCCAGACTGGGAATTGAACTCAGGGCCTCAAACATGCTTTCTGCCTACCACTTGAGCCATGCCTCTAGCCCTTTTGTGTTTTTTATTATTACTTTTTGTGTGTGTGTGTGTTACTGGCCATTTGAACACAGGGCCTTATACTTACTAGGCAGACACTCTACCACTTGAGCCAGGCTGCAGCCCTTTTTGCTTTAGTTATTTTTTATGTTTTTGCCTATGTCAGCCTTGGAACTCAATGTTTTCACTTACTGCCTCCTAAGTAGCTGGGATTATAGCTGTGGACCACCTTGCCTGGATTAGTTGTTGACTTTCTTGGTAGTACTGAGATTTGAACTCAGGGTCTGTGCTTGCTAGGCAGGTACTTTACCGCTTGAGTCATGCTTCCACCCCTCTGGCTAATTTTTTGCCTGGGCTGGCCTTGAACCACGACCCCCCTCGTCCCTGCCTGATGAGTAGCTGAGACTGCTTTTATCTTGTTTTTTAGACAGGGCCTTTCTGCCTTTGCCCTGGGTAGACTCCAGCTCTGGATCTACCTGTCTCCACCTCTCAAGAAGCCCTGCCTGATAATCCCTTCGTTAACTTCATAGTGTGGATATGATTTATTCCCTCAAGGGTTCATGTGTGGAAAGCCTGGCCCTCAGTACTGGCAGCATTGAGGTAGTGGACCTTTCATGAGGTGAGGCCTGTAGGAAGTTGGTTAGGTCCTGGGAATGAATTTGATGCTGATCTCACCAAGTGAGTTAGTTCTTATGAGAGTTACCTGCTATGAAATTCCAAATCCTGGCCCCTGAATTCCTGTTTGGCATCCTGTCTCTCCATGCCATCTCTCCCTCTTGCACATTCTCCTGCCATGAAGCTCACCAGAGGCTGAACTGATAGGGCATCCTCATCCTGGACTTTCAACTCCCCAGACTGAGCTACATCACCCTTTTTTTTTTTTAAATATAAAGTACATAGCTTCAGACGCTTTGCTTTAGCAATGGAAATGGGCTAATGAACTTAGACTTGGTTAGTTAGATGTACATGCCCTTCTCTTTAGAGAGTCCTCGGTAAGGACTTGATCCCAACAACTGATAAACATTTTTACATCTTTTCTAAAAATTTATGAAATTTACCTGATGAAGTTGAGTGTCTTTTGTGAAGAAACCTGTCAAATCTTTTGGTTCTGTTATTATGCTGGGAGGAAACTGATTTGTAATAATCTCAGGAGTTGTTTTCTTAAAGAGATACAGACATTGGTTCTGCAAACATTATCACTAGAAAGGCACTCTTGTATCTCCATTTAGTGTGTTGGAGAACCACAGTTGGAGATTATCAGAGAACTTGCTTTAAGGTGTCAAATTGAGGCTGGAGATAACTTTATTTTGATTTTTATCTTTTAGTGACAATGTCTGAATGTATAGTGTATCCTACAAGGTTTTACTTTTGTATCCTTTTAATCTTTCTAAGTCAAGAGATTTTTGTTTTGAGGAAGTGATTTATTTTAAATTTGTCCTTGCTAACTATAGCTAGAACAGGTGTGGTAGGGACCAACTGTCCCTGTGTTGGTATATGTGAGGGGCTTGGATTTATGTATATCATCCTTTGATCTTGAAAGTCTTGTAATTCAGTGACCTTTAAAAAATTTGGTGGTACTGGGATTTTGAACTCAGCCTTATGCTTGCTAGGCACGCACTCTACCACTTGATTCACACTCCCAGACTTCTTTTGCTTTAGTTATTTTTCTGACAGGCTTTCCCTTTATGCTTGGACCACAATCCTCCTACATATACTTTCCAAGCAACTGGGATTACAGGCATGCACTACTACTATTTGTTGAGATGTGGTCTTGCTAACTTTTTGCCTGGATTGATCTTGAATGACATTCTTCTCCATCGCCACTTCCCAGGTAGCTGGAATTAAGACGTGAGCCACTGTACCTGGCCTACTTGTACTTTAATGACTCTTTTTTATTTTTTTGAGACAGGATCTTACTATGTAGCCCAGTTTAATGTAGCTGGCATTAAACTGGCAATCCCTCTTGCCTCAGCCTCCAGATTGCTGGGATTACAAATGTGCACCTCTCGGCCCAGCAGTTTAGTGACTGTTAAAATCGTATGTTCTTATTCTGTTTACATCTATTTTTTAGAGCTTTTACTTTTTGCATGAACCTGAAGCAGAAGTTATCTGGCCTCTAAAGTCTCAAAAGTACTACTGATTTGTCATTCTGGTCAAAATTGGGAAGAGCCCATTAACATACAACTGAAACCTAGTCCCAGATTTCGCA